TTTGAATTCTTCAGTGTTTTAGGATCTTTGGATTAACTTACTGAAAAAGAGTTGGGAACATTAGGGGTGTCGTGTTGCCTTGCCTTTTCTTCATACGTGTGGCACGCATGTGCGTGTGCGTGCGTGTGTACATTGCAGTCGATGCCAGTACTGTGACGGCTACCTCTTCCAGCTTTTTTGTTTTTGAGACAAGGTCTCTCTCACTATGTACTAGGCTGGCCTCGATCGCACAGAGATCTCCCTGCCTCTGTCTCCCAAGTGCTGGGCTTAAAGGTGAGCACCACCACGCCCAGCTCTCATTCCAGCAGCCTCCCCTTGTGGCTCCAGCCCTGGGACCCCTGTGGTGATGGCGTCGGTACCCTGCGGCTCTAAAGCCAGGCAGGAGGCTGGAGCCACAGACTGCTGATTCTCTCCACCTCCATTCCTCCATGGTTCTTGTTTTGATTTTTGGTTGTTACTTTGGCTGTCCTGTCGCCTCGGTGCTGATTCTGATGTCCTGTGCTGCCCACCCTCCCAAGAGTTCTCTCCTTTGTTCTTCTCCATGGAGTCACATGAAGGGAACTCCTGGCCTGCCACATTACCCTGGCACTGCCAGCACTGGGTTTTGAGGAACATGTCAGGCCTAGCCTCCCGTCACGGAGCTCTGCTAGAGTGGGGTGGGGGCAGGTAGTGATAGACAATGTCTGCGACGCAGCACTACCCAGTTCTGTAGCCAGGGGCCCTCCCCAACTCTCAAGGAGGCTGAGTTTCACTAGAGAAAGTCTGTGGCCTCCGATGCCACCAGCATCCAAGCTGTGACCCCTCTCATCTGGCCTGCTTTCCTCCTTTGTAAACCACGTGGAGTCGAACCAGGATGATACGGAGGCCTGTCTTTTTCCTGGGCCAAAGCAAGACCCCTGGACCACATTCTAAGCATATATCATATATAGCCCAGGGCTATCCCTCCAACCTTGGGAGTGTGACTCTCAAGGTGTGGGGCCCAGTACCTGTAAGTTTAATGCCAAAGCCAAGTGATGCCTCTGTACCTCATCTCTAAGGGCTGCTGGGCCATGGCTGATGGCTGCAGGAAGGTTGGAGCAAGCCTGGACTCTGTCGTCCACCAGCAGCATCTGCTGACGGTGTTCAGTGCCCAGACAGCAGACTTACAGTGGGTGTGCGTTTGCTTCAGTGGAGCTGTGTTTTTTGCTCAGAACGGCCAGTTGAGAGGCTGGGACCAACTGTGCTGTGTGTGGCTGGCCTCTCTGTCCCCGTATGACTTCTGACCTCTGCTGCTCTCAGGGGTAGATGCTCTGGGGCCTCACCGCAACAAGCGATGCTGTGTCCTTCCACAGCACCATATGAATTACAGCAAACTCCCAAGAATCCTTCCAGGCTATCAGCTTGGGGACAGACAGGAGGAAGTGCCAGAGACACAGCTCTAGGCCCAGCAAAGCACAGGTGCTCCCAGGGATCACGCCACTGCCGCCTCCACAGCCCCTCGGTCTGTCTAGAGCAATGGACAGTGTCTGTACATACCAATGGCTCCTTACACCAGGCACCTATGTCAGTATCTTGGGGATTACCTGATCACACGGATGTGCTGCCAGGAGCTGGCCTCTCCAGAGTGGAAGGGGAGCTGGGAGACACACACCCCAGCTCCTGGTCCCTGCTGGTGTAACCACCACTTGTCTCCTTCAGGTCTCCAAAGCCCCATGCCAGGGTGGAGCCTCAGGGGCCCTATGGCTTGTGGACCACATGATGCCTTGAGATGTCCATGCCCCAATCCACATCCTTGTCCACACCCTGGGCCCTGGAGCCTATGACAGCACCACAGGCAGCAAACAGGGCTTGGCAGATTAGGGCCACAGACTGAGAGACTGAGATCAGAGTAGAAAAGCCGATGGATCCTACCAAACCAGGGGCAGGGCAGGGGCAGTCATAGTTCTGCTGCTAGTCACAGGGAGGTGGAGACAGCGGGCAGAGAGGACCCCACAGGCCTGAGCAGCACTTGACATGCTGGGCTTTGAGATGAAGACTCCATGAAAGATCAAGCAGGGGGCTGTAAGAGCCAGCAGGAAATAGAGACCTCTGTCCATAGCAGCCTGAATAAGCTAGGGGACCACTCTCCCCAGGGTCCTGCAAGGAAGAAGCCAGCCTGACTGGCCACTCTATTCCAGCCCCGTGAGACCCAGAGGAACCAGATGAGTCAACCAACTTCCAACCCACAGGTCTGTGAGGTGACACGTGTGTGAAGCTGGGGCTGTCAAGGTCGCTGACAGGAACTGTCAGGAAACTTCTACTTTTGCCTCCCTTCCTGTCACCCCCAGGGTAACAACGTGAACCTAGGGCTGGGGCGATGGCTCCATCAACAAAGTATGTGTAGATGTTAAATTAAAAAAAGCTGAGAGTGGCAGCATCTTATAATCTCAGTGTTGGGGAGAGGGAGACAGGTGGGTGTCTGGGCCTCACTGACCATCTGGCCTAGTCTACTTGATGTGACACAGTGTCAAAAAAACAAGACAGGCAGTGCCTGGGGAGCAACAGCTGAGTTTGTCCTCTGGCCTCTATATAGATGTGCTATCTGTACACACGTGTACCTGCGTTTACACACAACCACCAACAACCTGCATACAAGCTCCTACCTCAAGCTTGGCTTTTAGGGAGCCCAAGGTATGAACAAATATGGGCTTCAGTGCTGGCTGGGAAGCAGATGACACACACATCGACAGGAAAAACACACGCAGGGTTCCAGCCGGCCAGCCAGGGTAGAGAGTGTGTGGGGATCCCATCAAAGACCCCAGGCGTTACCTCTGGTGCACCGCCTGGGGGGCTCCACAGGCTCCATCTGCCGTCTGACTCCCCGCTGGTAGGTCACTGAGTTCCTGTTTCTTCCTCAGCTCGTGAGCGTCGAGTCTCTCACCTGGACCCCCAAACACAAAGACAGTCAAGGTATGTTTGTACGATGGGCTCTGCCAGGCCTGGGGTGGGGCTGGGGGTGCAGGGCAGGGGGGAGCTGGACACACTTGCTTTCAGAGTATATTATAGGCACCAGTACTTGGAGAGGCCAGAGCATGAGAACACCGTGGCCTCAGCCAATAAAGCACCTGGGCTTCCGCTAGCCCTGTGTAAGACTTCAGAGCAATGGGAGGCAAGTTTGGACAAACTTCTATGGTCAGAGACTGCCACCAGTGGGAGAGGGCCCGGTGAGCTGCGCTCTGCCTGGGCCTCCATCCCAGCCTGTCCTGGGAAGACAGCAAAGCTTGGGAGTCATGGCGTCCCGCCACTCTGCAGACCTGTGTGCAGGGAACGGAGCAGTCTCACAGAGCATGCACTGCTCTGGTGCTATTTAAGTGTCACTATGGGGATAGCGGCTGGTCCCCTGCTTCACAGGGTTGAGGACAGGAGGTAGTTCTAGAAGCTCTGGGTAGAACACTGTCAGGGAGCTCCACTGGGACACAGGCCTGTTCTTCAGGATGCTTTTTTTTTTTTTTTTTTAAGAAGAAGCATTTCATTACAGCTTTAACATACTCGATAACAGTTTCCAGAGCAAAGATACATCTCTTTTGAAAGTGGCTATAAAATTTTTAGGTTTGCTGTTGAATTAATACAGTTAAACAATATTGAACTCAGTATAAGCCATGTAGGATGCTTTTTAAAAAACAGTTTATGATTTTTGTTTTATGTGTATAAGTGTATTTCTTGCATGTATGTAGGTGCACCTGTGTCATGCAATGCCCACAGAGGTCAGAAAAGGGCATCAGATCCCCTGGAACCAGAGTTACATACAGTTGTTAGTCACCATTTGGGTGCTGGGAATTGCACTGGGGTCCTTTGCAAGAGCAGCCAGTGCTCTTAACCACTGAGCATCTCTCCAGTTCCCACATGCTCGCTCTTAACCATGGTCACTACATCTGTTTGGCCACCAGAAATCTCAGGGAGGGAATCATCTCTCTCTCTGTAGGGCTTCCCAGCATTCACCCCTGGTACTGACCTCCCCATAACAGGCCACTGTCCCAACCTTGAGCCTTACTGTACTATATATGTAGTATGGAACCTTTTAACATCTTTAAAAAATCTTTCCAGGCAAAAAAAACAGAGTACAAAAAGCAAGCAGCTAGATTTCCCCAGGCAGAGTGCCTGGCTGCACTCTTGGGAAGCCAAACAGCTGGGCAGGTGCCTACCTTGCAGGCTCTTCAGGCACTGCAGCACCTGCTCCTCGTGACGCTGCAGGAGCCTCCTGACGCGCTGGTAATGTGCCTGCACGAGGTGGCCGACACTGGCACTGGTCACATACACGCTCTCCACCACTGTCTCCACCAGCGTCTTCTGTGGCAAGGAGAGGGACAGGGACAGCAGAGAGGTCACAGAGCAAGCCACTGCGGCTTATTCCCTGAGTCCCACCTGCCCTGGATGAAATCTCCCATCTGCTTCCAACCTGGATTGGTCAGGACTTGGACTGAGTAAGGCTGGTTTAAGCCACTTATGATAATATTTATTTCCCATGGCAATGGATGGCCCAAGATGCCATGTGAGGCAAAGCAGGCTGAGGCAGGGTATTTCTTTTCTGAACATTAACACAAGGCCTTGATGGGTCAAAGATTTTACCACTTTCATCTTCATGATAAGCCGTACCCCTCTGTCTGCCAATCACAGACACCACTTCCGTGGTCCTCTGGGGCTCTTGCCTGCCCACCTGGCTCCAGAGAGCAGCCAAGCAGATGGAGGGCAAATGCTAGGGATGAGCTAGCTCCAGGCTCATCTTGGCTGCTCACTACCCACCAAGCTTTAAGTGAGTCTTCTGGCAAATGAAAATGCCTCAGTTTTTCCATCTGTGCACTAGGAAGAACCCTTTCCTAGCCAGGGCTGTGGGGGAATCTGATAAGGTGGGCAAGGGCACTGAGATGCTGTTCCATGCTGACATGACCCATCATCCGGCATTGACAACAGATGCAGCAAACCACTGCTCAGTCCACTCAAACTGAGCTCGGTGGACTGCGGGGCTGTCAGGGTCTGTGTGCAAAGACTCAGAACCTGAGTATCTCCTGATTCCAGTCGGGTTCTGCCAGTCTGTAGTGCTGTGGTCCAGGGGTTGGGAAGCCAGGTATGCCTTGGGATTGCCACAGAACTAGTGTTCAACATGACACAGCTTAGGGTCTTTGGGTGGGACTGGGTGATCCTCATCCCTATGACAGCAGTGAGCCCATGTGACAGATGGGAACACTGGCAAGTGGGCAAGTTCTGCAGGCTGGAAGCGCCCAGAAGCTCAGGACAAACCCTGTTCTTCCTGCCTCTTGGGGTCTAGGGATGGGACCTGGCACGCACCTTGAACTCCTCTCTGTCTTTGGCCCGGCTCCTGTTGGCCATGCTCCGAGCGTGTATCAGCAGCACCTGCCCGATGGACCGCTCCATGTGCCGCTGTAACAGCTGTGCCACCTCCTGTGCCTCAGCCAAAAGCTGCTGCTGGAGCTGCAGCCGCATCTGCTGAGCCTCGTCCTCCAGTCTGGCTGCCTCCTCTAGGGCACGTGTCTCCTGCCAGGGAAGCCCCTGTTACCACTGAGCCCACCAGGAGGCTCTGGGCCTGGAGGCTGGGGACAGGGTAAAAGGATGGTGGAGGCTGGATTTCAAACATTAGCCCTAGGGATAAGCCTAGGTGTCTGTTGATGGTTCCCTCCTCCCTCCAAAGGCATTTATTGAGCTCCACTGTGTGCTCAGTGCCAGCCATGGCTCCTCACCAAAATGAAGGCCTTGTCCATTCTTCTAGAACACTGTGAACTCCAAACACTAAGACTGATGAGATCTGAAGGCTCAGAGAATTTGAATAACTTTCTAAAGTCACACAGTAGAGCTAGGTTTGGGGATCAGATTCAGGTCTGGGGCCATCACAGAGGCTGTGGCAGGATCATGGGACCCTGAGATTGTCCTGGTCATAGGACTGAGAGAAGCAGAGGACAGGAGTCACAGCTGGAGAAGTATCCCACCGGCTTCTTCTGAGTTGCAAGGGGGAGCTAGAAACCAAGTTTATTTCCTCCAGAGACCATCACTACTCCTATGGCTTAGAGGTTCCATGCAGGAAACCAGAGGGGTCAGCATGGGTTCAAATCCTAGCTCTGCCGACTGCCAGTTCATAGTTTTTGATCTGTCAAACCTTCACAGAATGACAAAGGCCTTTTCTCCCGGGTGTTGTCCATGCCAAGCTCCCTCAGACTTTGCTTTGTTTCCTGGTGGGACTCGCTCTGTGTCACCTTCACTAGAACTTGACATATGTGTGTCCCCTTCGGTGACTGCCATACCTGCTATGAATTAGACTATGTCCCCCCCCCCAAATCAACATGTTTAAGTCCTAATCCCCAAGACCTCAGGATGGGACATAGGGCCTTTGAGGGGGGTGATTAACTTAGAACAGTCATGAGTGTGGATCCCCATCTAGGATGCTTAGGGTCCTCCTAAGAGGATAGCTTTCTGACACACACACAGATGATGGTGTGAGCACACAGGAGATGCGTCTTCATGTCAAACAGTGAGAACTGCCCTGCCCCACCTTGACCTCAGCCCTCAGCCTCCACATTCGGAAGAGATGTGGGCCTATGGTGTAAGCCTGTCTGTGCCATGTATGTACCATAGGCAGACTAATACACTCATGGCCCCTCAACATGTGGGGTGGCAGGATACAGGTGTGACAAGTGGGGTTGGATCCAGGGCTTGATGGGACACTTCTGGGTACCACTTTCTCACCAGGGCTCTGAGAAGCTGCCACTGATGCTCCTCCAGGCACGGGGATGCACCCTGCTCTAATGCTAGCTGCTCACGCAGCTCCTGCAGTAGCCTCTTCTTCCCAGACAGCCTCATCTGAGCCAGGGTGGTGATGGTGGTGCTGCGGAGGGCCAGCCTGCGCAGGGCTGAGCGCAGTAGCAGTTCATGACCTTGTAGGATGCCTCGTGTGGACCTAAGGGAGAGGACAAGGCTGGTCAAAGCTCGTGGCCCTGCAGGACTCCTCCTATAGACCTATGGGAGACAGCAAAGTTGGTCAGAGCTCTTGAATGCCCTGAGCTAGTGAGACACTCCCCAAGTAGCCACACCCACAGGAAGGATGGGAGCTAACCACCTTCTCTGTCCTTAAAGATCCACTGCCTGCCTGGTGGCCTCCAGCCTTCCCAAGTTAAGAGGCAAGAGCGTGGGGTACAATCAGGCACCTCTGTATTTCCACAGCAGTGGTTCAAGAAAACCCAAGGTCAAGCACGGGGACTGACATCCTGCAGTGCTGCTGGGAGGCTGAACAGCTGGACAGACCACTCAGCAGGTGACGAAGGGAAGATGTGGGGCACTCGAGGCTCTCCACTGCAGCCGCAAGAGACGGAGTCACTGCCCCTCACACACCTGTTGTGGAATCCGTCAGATTCCCAGGGCTGGGCTTCATCTGCCATGGCCTGAAATCCCCACTAGAAACAAGATAGGTCCTCTAAGGAGGATGGCATCATCCAAAGCCAGACCTTATCTCTGTAGTTATTCACAAAATGCCCAGGGGGCCAGTCAAAATAACCAGCCGTACAAACAGACAAAAATGAACCAAAAATAGACAACAGAAAAAGAGCCAAAGGTAACAGGTGGAGGGACCATGCCAATGTTACATTAATTATGACATGTATGTTCAAGAAATCTAATGATCACAATAAAGAATCTTAGCAGGTAGCTGGGAAGTGAAGAGAAAGTGCTGGAATTCAGAATATGAGAGTGACATTTAGAAATCAACAGGTCAATTTCAGAGCAGATGAGACACAGTCTGAGGCAGGGAGAACAGGAAGCCAGAGGACAACGGGATGGAACAGTACAGAATTATGTATGGAATGTGCTGGAAAAGTCTAGTAAATATGCAATTGGTTCCTGAGAGCAAGAGGCAGTGTATACTAAATATAAATGGACCAAATACTAGTGCGTCTCAAAGACACAGACTTCAGGCCTCTTGAATTCCCCAAGTGCTGGCCAGGCTCACCAGGTGTCTCTGGCCCACGCTGCTCATCTCTCCCCTTTTGGGGGCTTCACTCCTGTCATCCATTACAATAACCACACACCTGCCACAGTGCCTGCCATGAGACCCACACACCTGCTCCAAGACTTCCCATCAACACAGCCTCATAGCCACGCACTTCCTGCACCAAACAGCCATGGTCACATACCTGCTCCTGTACCGCCCACCACTACAGCTACACACCTATTCCCCAAGCATTCTCTCCACAGCTACCTTCCTGTTCCTGCATCCACTTCTCTCACAGCCACGTGCCTTTTTTTTTCCTTGACACAGTGTCTCCCTGGAGCCCTACCTGGCACGGAACTCTCTATGTAGACCAGGCTGAACTTGAATTCACAGAGATCTGCCTGCCTCTGCCTCCCGAGTGCTGGGATTAAAGGTATGTGCCACACCTGGCTCACATCTGATTTTTTTTTTTTTTTGGTCTTTTTGAGACAGGGTCTCCCTGTAGCCTGAGCTGTCCTGGAACTCAGTATGTAGACCAGGCTGGCCTTGAACTTACAGAGATCCGCTTGCCTCTGCCTCCCAAGTGCTGGCATGAGCCACCACACCCGGCTCACATCTGCTTTTAAAATCATTTCTAAAAATTATTTAGTTTTATTTAGTGTGTATGAGTATTTGCCTGCATGTATGTAAGTGTACTCAAGGCATGCAATGCCCACAGAGGCCAGAAGGTGGTTCGAATCCCCGTGAACTGGAGTTATGGACAGTTCTTGGCTGCCATGTGGATGCTGGGAACCAAACATAGGTCCTCTCTGAGAGAAGCCAGTGCTCTTAACCTCTGAGTCATCTCTCCAGTCCCATACCTGCTTTTTTCCTACCTACATAGATTATGTTCTTGGAAAAAGATGAGAAACTTAAAAAAGAATTACTATCACATCAGTAATGAAACAAGGAAAAATATTTTCACCAAATAGAAAAATCATAAACACACACACACACACACACACACACACACACACACACACACACACAAAGAGCAAAAATGTGAAAAGTGAATATGAAGGTGGTTACTGAACAGGGCTCTCTGTGAGTGATGGGACTGTTCAACATTTGCACTGTGGTACCAGGACTAAAACTGAAAATTTACTAAAAATCTGGGACTGGACTCTTAAAATAAAGCCTATAAATTTTATCTGGCAATGGCTGTTCCAAATAGTTCCTACCATGCAGAATTCTGTGAAGTAGGTCTCATTATCCCAGTGTTCCCAGAGGCGGAAGCTGAGGTTGTGATGTGGCATGTCATTACTTTCAGGGAAAGGGGGGGTGGGGAGTCAACATATACACCTTGCAGAGAGCACAGCGAGGCCAGTGTGGAGCCTCACATGGACTGAGCCTGTCCTCCAGAAGCCATACTCACTCTTCAGAGAGGCCAGTGAGTCTGCCCAGGACCCTGTAGATGGTGTTCTCATGGTCTCCCCGCAGCTGCTTCTGTAGCACCCTGGACAGCACACACTCCTGCAGCCACACCTGCGCTCAGAGACAGAGCCGCTCAGCAGCTGCAGTCGCTCCATCGGTCTGTCTGCTGGATGGCCCCACTCTTTAAGTCCTCCCCCCGTCCCGCTTCTGCTAAGAGCTTTGCTTGCTCTTGGGGTCCTCCCTAGTGATCTCCAGTGAGCAGGAGAAAGGTTCACTTCACTCAGTAAGATCATGATGCCACAAGGGCACACCACCAAGGAGAGTATTTCTCTCGCTTTCCTGTTTTAACAGACTGTCTCCAGTCTGGAGACCTTCCAGCCTGAAAGCAGGGTATGGGTGGAGTACAGGTCTCGGCAGAGCTCTCCGAAGCCCTGACTTTTGTCCCCAAGTCCTGTGATTCCTTGTCTGCTCCATTTCTAGGGGCTGCTGTGGGCGCAGGCTCCCGGCCCATTGCTCCAGCCTCTGCCCATCCCTTCCTCTGACTCTGACCCTCCTGCCTCCCTCTAGTGCATGCCCAGCATGTGCTCTAGCACTGAGATCCATCCTCAGCTGCGATGCCCACACCTTTGTAAAGCATCTCTAAGAGGCCCTAGGGTATGCTCAGAGCTGGAATCGCTCACCATCCCCCTAAGTCTCAAATGCACAGCCCCGGCCCAGGTCTTAGGCCACACACCTGTCTGTCCTGCTCCAGGAGGTCGCACAAGAGTCCCCACTGCTGTCGGCGGAAGCGGTCCACCTGACCCAACTGCTGTGCTGCCTGCTCCTGGACCTGTTGCCGCAGAGCTTCACATTCTGTCCATGGGAGGCCGCTCACCTCTGGGAGAGTCTTCAGGAACAGGGTGTCCACAAACTTCCGGAAGGTTGCCGTGGTGCCACAGTATAGCTCCTGCAGTGAGAACCACAGTTGGGGTTATGGGTCACATCCTAGGTCCCACCTTGCTGGGGCCTGAGCTCTCCACTGCCTCTACGTGCCCCACAAGACACATGAAACTCAGGGATGGGGACCCTCAAATCACAGTACACACACACACAAATGCACACAGAGATATGCCTATACATAGGTACACATGAAGACATGTAAAGCATATACTTGTACACATAGACAGGTACACACATGCAGATAGGGGCACACAAGTATCTATATGAATACATGCAAGAGACACATACAAATGTATTCATGCACAAACATGCACAGGCACATAAAGACATATATGTACACACAGAAATGCACAGACACATATGTACAAGCAAGACACACGTACAAACACATGTATGTACACACAGATACAAACTCATACACCGACATGTATATACATGTACAAACAGGCATGTACACACACAAAGATATGCAGGACACATAAACACATATAGGTGTATATGCAAATACAGGCATGTAAGCACAGAGACTCAGGTGTATACATAAACATGTACACACAGAGATCCATGTGTGCACACATGAAGACATGTAAGGCCTACACATATAAATCCAACTACCCATATACAGACACATACAAAACAGAACTATGCATTACAAACTAACATGCCTGCACACACTGACATGTACACACAGACGGATGCATAATAGGTACACACATGCACACAAACTGCATATATGCACATACACTCACACACATGCACGCACACATACACAGTCTCGGGACATGCGTGCTGTCTTCACGTTTTCTCACCCAGTGAAGCTCTGCACCCACCCTGAACCTTGACCTCTGGGTCTCTGGTGCTTCTCCTCCACCCCATCAGGGACTCCCAGGTCACCATCCAGGCTGCCTGCACAGCCCCGGTCTGTGTGTGCTGCTCTGTCTCCCTCTTGCCCTCTGCACACAGGAGTGTAATCCAGAGGCCTCCTGTCACCTCACACACCTGAGACTGTTCCCGCCAGTCAATCCCCAGGAGGGCTTCTAGGCTGTCCTGGCTCCAGCCTGACTGTCCCGATGATCAGTTGCTGTCATCCCAACTCATAAAATGTAATTTAAATTATGAACGATGCCCACGCCACCTGTGGGAACGAGTGGCACTCTGCAAGTCACACTCAGATCTTGTAGTTTAGAACACCAAGTTGGAATCCATTTCCCTCCACTTCCTAGCCCTCTCCTGAGCCAGCAACCCCACGAACTCAGTGCTTGCTCCAGTTGCCTCCCTGTACCACCACTACATGCCATTCTGTAGCTTTGGGTTTGCCTGGCATACATGGTGACTGTCGGTCTCAGCGTGTGACCGACAGTCACCACCTGACGACGCTTTGTCGAACTGCTCCCTTCCCCACCCCAGCGGCTCACACATGGAAAACTCCTCCTCACTCCACAAAGGCCCCCAAAATGATCCTCTCTGTGGAGCCCTGCTTGGGGCACTTGCACAGACACAGACATTTGCAACTCTGGCCCCAAGAGTTCTTAGACAGCTCACCTTGGGTCTCAGTCTCAAAGTGTCTGCTGTCACTGGATCGTGGCTGGAATTTGGTCAGACCTGCAGCACCTCTCCTTGTGTCCCCCTGAGCAAGCATTAGGCTGCATCTCTGAGCACCGTGTCCTGACTTCCCTCAATGATGGACTGTAACCTGGTATTGTGAGCTGAAATAAACCCTTTCCTCCTCCAGGTTGCTTTAGGTCAGGGCATTTGTCCCAGCAACAGAGATGAAATGAGGACAGGGACTCTCAGGTACCTCCTCCAGGCCCTCAAAGCCACCTGCTAGGTGAGTACCATACTTCTATCTTCCCCACGCCATACAAGAGTGGACCAATTTCCTGGTTTGCAGCACAAACATGAAGGACCCACGGCAGGGATGTGGCCTGTGGATCGTCTGGGCACCCTGCCTCTGGTGTCCCAGCCCAGGGGACAGGAGGCTCGGGAGGTCCTTTCACACATGCAGAGCCTAGCGGTGCTGTGCTGTCCAGCCACTGTGATGGTCAATCTCCACTGTCAACCTGAAGCATTTGGAGTCACCTAGGAGATACACCTGTGAGTGAGTCTGTGCGGACACTCCCAGGTACATTTGACTGAACTTGGGGAAACCATTGACCTGCATGTGACAGCACCATTCCACGGCTGGGAACCCACACCAAGTCAAAAAGAGAAAGTGAGCTGAGCGCCTGCACTCGTCTCTCTCTGCTTCCTGACTGTGCATGCGATGCAGCCAGCTGCCTCACACTCCTGCCTTCCCCACCAGGATGGACTGGGCCCCGAACTGTGAGCCACATAAAGCCTTCTTTCCTAAGCTGTTTCTGTCAGGTACCTTGTAACAGCAACGAGAAAGACAGGGAACCCCACCACAGACCTGGCAGAGAGCAGACATCTCCTCAGTGATTCGGATATCCTCCTCCTCCTCCTGGTCACTCCATGCCAGCTGCTGCCTCTCCAGGACCTCGTGGAAAGCCTGTGGTTACAGCAGGAACTGAGTCCAGTAGAACATTGCACTTTTTGGTTTTTCTGGAAAATTTCTCCCTGACTGACTCTTCTCCGGGAGGGGTAGTATTCATCCCAATTAAATTGCGAGGAGACAGGCCAGGACTTCAAACGCAGCTCCCTCTGGAAAGCCAGTCTGTGCTTTTGTTATACTAGCGTGAGGAGAGTTCACCAGGTCTTCTTGTTGCTTGTCTGTCCTGTACCCAGTCATCAGACATCACCCTGACTCTGCTGGTGACCCACCAGAAGCAGGGCAACCTACCTAGGGGGACCAGTGGGGTTGGAGCACAGAGGCACTGTAGTCGAGAGCCAGGCCCCGCCAACCAGAGGTTGGACACCGCCCCAAGGAGTTAACAGAGGCAGGGACATGGAGCAGCCCAGCAGGGCATCAGAGGCTCTAACACAGCCAGAAGGCAGAGCGGGTTACAAGGACAGAGGGTGGGCTCCTTAGGGGTGGGAGGTGCAGCCTCTAAGGGCTAATGTCTATGGGGTCTGAAGGCCAAGGCCTCTCAGGATCAGGAGGCAGCAGCAGCCACAAGTGGGTGCTGGAGAGCTGTCTGTCTGTCGGCCTTTGGGTTGGTATGGAGTGCTGGTGAGTTGAGGCTGAGGGGTAGGGACCAGAAATGGGGGTGCTAAAGGTGAGCCGAAGCTTGGTGTCCAAGTTGGAGCTTGGTGTTCATTCGTTCATTCATTCATTCATTCATTCACCCCTCCCCCTTCAGCCCTGTTTCCTGGACACCAGCCATGTGCCTGGTTTACACCATATCTTGGGACACAGACACACCTGTCACCCTCCCGCCTTTGAGGTTTAGGCTGAGCAGAGTGATATCCTGGGTTGACAAAGAACTGGGCCTTAACTTCTTCAATCTTCTCAGACAGAGCTAGCCCGACCCCTTTAGACTAAATCTCTGACCCCCAGACAAGGCCCAAAAAGAGCTCGTGGGGAGGGGTGGCTGGAGCAGGGCCTGTTGGTCTTATGCTGTGAGGGAGGCACCTTTTCTCACTCAGGTACACCCCACCACACTGTTCCCAGAGCCCTGTGCCTCTGTCACTGGGCCCAGCCTGTCCTGTGAGCCCCCAGACAAAGTTGGGCCCACTGTAGCAAATGTGAATATAGGGCAGATGGGCTAGGTCAGGCCAGAGCTGCCCCAACTCATCTGAGTTCTAGCAAGGCTGTGAGGAAGGTATTGTCCCCATTTCACAGGTAAGGAGCTGAGGGCACAACAGGGAACAAGCCCAAGGTCGCTGGGTTTATTAGCGGTAGAGTGGGCATCAGTATGATGGGCTCCAATACCTGGTACTTCCTCAGGTCCGGGATGGCCAGGGACCAGTGTCCTCCCTAAGCCCCACCGTGATTACCATAGCACACAAGGTGGAACAGCGCACAGGGGAGAACAGCTCTTTCCCTCTCTGAGCCCACAAGGAGGTCTCCAGCCTGCACTGGAGCCTGTGGCTCCTTTTCCCTTTAAGAGGCTGGCACCCTGCTTCCTGTCCTCCCACTGGCCTCCCCACGGAGACCCACGGTATTTTTTAGTGGGGCCACCTCACGCAGGGGCTGATGACTGCTCTGTTCCTCATGTGTGAGGTCTGTTCAAGAGGCTGTCCTGGGTCTTATACATTTTGGGTGTCAGCACAAAGGCCACTGTGTGCCATGCCCCAGCATTTTTTCCGGCTCAGTACAGATCATCCACCACCTTCTCTTGGCAGTCCAGCTTGGAGGCTTTCATCACTGGCTCACAGACGAGGAATCAGGGACACAGAGACCAAGGGTCCTGGCTACGGTAACCTGGCTGGTACAGGGAGGCAGGCATTGGGGAGGGGCAGGGTCACCTTGAGGAACACCTTCTGGTCAGAGGTCAGCTGGGGATCAGCCAGGAAAGTTCTTCGTTCTTCCTCTTGGGTCAGCATGAGCTCGGCCGTCACCTTAGCCTGGTGAGCCAGGGACGCCTGGACCAGGTCTTTGCCACGCTGGATGAACTCTAAGATTGAAAAGAGCCACGGGACGGGGGTCACTCCTGAGCAGGGTCACTGTGGACCTCTCCTGTGCACTAACAGATAGTCCCTGCTCTGCAGGTGACAGACTGACCTGGTGAGACCCACACAGTGACCTCAAGGAAGGTCCCAGTGTCCGCTGGGTCTTGAACTCTGCCCTGCCTACCTCCAAGGGTGGCCCTGAGGGTAGAGGCAGACATAGGGAGCCTGTGTGGCTCGCCTCCACCCGTGCTCGCCTGAACCATCCTTGCTAGCCACAGTTGGGCAGGGTCATGGTACTTAGGTAGGGTTGTGGTGGCATACCTCAGCTGTAGGCATTCCCATGTCTGTTCTAGTTAAGCTTCCCCTTCTTTGCCCCTTTGAATTCCAGGTGGTTGTGTGTGGACACTGGGGCCTTGTCAGCTGGCATCACTAATGACTAGAAGGAGAAGGTGACAACCTGTCCATGTTTACTCTGTTCTACAGGGAGGGGAGCAGGCATGGACCCGCCCCCAGGACTAGAAGAAAGGGCGGCCTGTGCTGTCATGGGCCACACTGCTCCACACTTCTGACTGGTTCTGGTGTCCCCTATCTTTGACACTCATGAGGGGGGTCACCCCTGCTGGGCCCACTGGCTCACCCCTGCTAAAGCACTCTGCCTCTTTCCAGAAGGCCTTGTGCTGATGGGTCAGCAGTTCCTCCTTCTGCCTCCCAGACAGCTGCCCCTGAGTGGTAAGCAGCTCCAGGCCGTGGGAGATGGCGGCCAGCCGGCACCTGGTCTCCTCCTGGATCTGCGTCCTCAGGAACTCCACTATCCTTGCCATGTGGGCCCGGCCCACTGCTCTTTCCAGGGCATCCTACAGGAGACACATGATATGGCTGGGCATCGAGGCTCAGCCTGGTGGATCTGAGGAGGCGGTGGGCTCCAACCCCACTCTCCACTGCAAGCACAGTGGACTCTGGTCCCAAGGCTGTGGTGGAAACCTCTCCAGGCCTTCAGGGCTCTGGGATGAGTCACTGGGCATTTAGCACCAGGCCATGCCTCCCTAGGCACCGGCTCTCAGGGGCATGAATCTAATAAGCATGTGGTAGAAACGGAACTTCCAACTTCCTCAGGGCTTTCCCTCCCCCAGCCAAAGCCGCCCGCAGTGTCCACAGCCCTGGGAAGGCAAGGGCAGTGGATGTGACCACAGTGCTGCACTGCACAGCCTAAGCCTTGGGCCTTAAGGCTGTTCAAGGGTAAGGTCAGATCCCCACTAAGAGTGACTCTTCCTACCTCCCCCCAGAGTTTAGAGCTGGACCCTCCTTTCTCTCCCAGCTTATCAATTCTCAGGACTGAGTCTTGGGGAAGCCTGGGAAATGATGAACAGAGACAGACAGAAATCAGAGCACCTTAGGGAGCTGTGACTACCAGGTGCTGGCTGAAAGAGCGCAGGGGCCATGGGAGGTACAGGGAGTCCCAGTGGCCCCCAAGCTCAGTTTTGCTTTGCCTGTTCTCTGCCTGTCTCTGTCCCCACATCACACGAATGGGACCTTTTGGAGTCCCTGCTCTCTGAACCGTCCAATTGCTGCCCTTCAGTCAAGCCTAAACTCTGAACTCTGTCTCCCACACCTCCCTGCTCCTGCTGTCAGCTGCACTGGTCCTTTGCACACATGGGGCCCTCTCCCTGGAACAACCTCGCTGCCTCCTCTCACTGTCCTGCTTGGCTACGTCCTACTCATCCTCATGACCTCAGTAGTCCTCCCTGACCTTCCCCATTCCTGTGGGTCCCCTCCTCCATCCCCCACTGCTTCTGAGGCACTTATCTCAAAAGCCAGTCCTAGGCTGGAACAAGAGCCCTTCAAGACCAGGGATGCACCTGGTCATTGTATCTGGGCTGGGCAGTCCTGGCCACAGTTACGGAGCTGCTGGACTGTGTTCTAACAGAGTGGGAAAGAAGGAGCCCTTGATATGGATGGTTTATTCCAAAGGGCTCACAGTGACCCCTAGAGGGCACAAGAGAATAGGCCAGGTTGGCAGCACAGTCCAGGGCTTAGATCTGCAAGGCCAGTGGAGAAGGGAGCACACACAGGAGCTTCTGAGGGACGCCTCTGTCCTGATGTGGTCAGTCCTCAAAGTTCCCAGTCAGGCTCGCTTCACCCTAAGTTGACCCAAGGTTCAGGACTGAAGTGCCACAAAACAAGTCCAGTGCTTAAAGCGGCCAGAGCAGCTCACACGCAGCTGTACATAAGTCCAGCAATTCACACAGCAATCCCCTATACATCTCAAGAGGCAGAATCTTATGACTTCTGGCCCCTTTTCCAAGCTTGTTCAGGTTTGGTATTGAGCGGTGCTGTGTAACATCACCCATGTCCCGTACGGCTTGGACGGAGCCTGATTCTCCTGGAGTTCATGGTGACTGGGCTCTCAAGAGGCAGCTGCCACATGGTCCCTCTTTGAGACCCATGATGAGGCTGAGGCTTTCAGAGCTAACGTGTCTCTTCTGCACACATGGATTACAGCCACACATGCCTCACATCAGGGTCAGGGATCTGCCTGCCTGCTTTGCCTGCTGGCATGTGGCCTTCAGGACTAGGCATACTGATTTCAGTTCTGCACTGAAGACTTTGTGCTGTCAATCACCTGGGAGAAACCAGGTCTCAGACGACTCATTTCAGAGAGAATGAAAGTGAGTCACAGAGAGGGTAAGCAATCTTTCCAGGATCACACAGCCAGTAAATGGAAAGGCGGTGCTAGGGGCTAGTTTCTTCTTTCTGCCTGCATTTTTAACCTCTGCAATTCTGTTTCCTCAGCAAGATGTGACCTGGGTCATTAAATATGAAAGTGGACAGGGGCTCCTTTCCTCTCCCTTCTTATAATCTCTCTGAGGTGCATTAATATTACAATCAGGTGTTTTATCAAGCTAAAATCCCCCTCACAGGCAGCCTGCAGGGAAGCCCGAGGCTCAGACTTAGGGATGCTGTGAGATGGGGTGAAGCCCCAGGCCGTCACTGAGCTGCCTCCCTCCCTCCGCTCACTGTGAATCAGAGAAAGCAGCCAGGGCTGGGGTGTGTGCAGGGGCAGAGCAGGTCTGAGGCCCTAGGGTTCATCCTCAGCCCCCAGCCCCTACCACATCTGCATAAGAAGAGAGGAGGCTGGGCCCTGGTACAGCCTCTGAAGGAAGAAATGGGGCTGGACGGCATCTCCATCCAGCTCCTGCTGATGCTGCCACTGTCAGGCCACATCTATGAGGGCAGCGTGGTTGGGGAGGCCTGCTGTGCGCAGGCTCTGTGCTAAGTAGTGGGCTTCTGCAGTGTTCTGAGCCTGTGGGTACCTGACTCAGAGGCTCAGAGGGTGGGGACACAGGTGCAGAGTGCCATCAGAAGTGTTCCCAGACCGGCCCAACACCTGCACACAGAAACCAGACAATAACCAGGGTGCTATGTGCCTCTCAGCACAAACAGGGGTCCTGTCTGGATACTCTTTTTAAAAAAATATTTTATTTATTATTTATTATCTTTTTATTTTATGTGTATGCATGTATTGTCTGCACGTAGGTAAGTACACCTGTGTCGTGCAATGCCCACGGAGGACAGAAGAGCTGTTGGATCCCATGGAACTGGAGTTACAGATAGTTGTTAGCTGCCATGTGGGTGCTGGGATTTGACCCGGGTCTTCTGCAAGAACAGCCAGTGTTCTTAACCGCTGAGCCATCTCCCCAGCCCCCATCTGGACACTTTAAACACCATTTTATAGATGGAGTAATAGAGCCAAGAATGGTTAAGCAGTGTGTTTAGGGTCACACAGCTCCAAGTGGCAGGGTATACATTCAAAGGTATGTTGGGGGATTCCTTTCTGTCAGCACTTTGCATCCTGGTCACACATGAAAACCACCGGGGAAGTTTTAAAACTGGAAATGCTAAGACTTCTTCCCAAACAATCAGATCAGAATCCATGTGTTAATATCTGAACACAGGCATCTTTTCAAGGCCTCCCAAGTGACACAAGGTAGTCAAGAGGGTAAACAGATGCTCACCTGTACTGAAGCCCACCCTACCACTGCTCAGATCCATCATCTGGGAACACAAAGAACCCCAGTAGTCCAGCTTCACCCCCAGCCTGACTGAGCCTGACCACTAGGTGAAGTCCCACAGGAGCCCAAGCATCAGAATTTCCAAGGCGTCCCAGATAATGTCAAATGAAGCCAGCTTTGAGAACCTGAGCTCAGTGCTCCAGGACCACTGAGCTGGCCAGCATCTCCACTATGGAATGGATGGATGGATGAGTGGATGATGGATGGAATGGATAGATGATGATGGATGGTGATGATAGATGATGGGTAGATAAATGGATGGATGAACAGATAGATAATGGATAGGTGGGTGGATGATGGCTAACAGACAGCTAGAAGATGGATAGATGGATGGATGATGGATAATGGACAGCTAGATAGATGATGGACATATTGGTAGAAGAATAGGTAGATGATGAGTGGATGGGTGATAGATGGATGGGTGAATGATGGATATATGGATGGATGATAATGGATAGATGGGTGGGTGGGTGATGAATTGATGGATTGATAGATGATGCACAGATGGGCAGATGGGTGGATGAAGGACAGATGGATGATGGATAGGTAGATGGATGATAGATGATGGGCAGATGGATGGATGATAGATGAATGATGAATGGATGGGTGATGATGAATGGATGGATACTGATGGGTGATTGATTATGAATGGATGATAAATAAATGATGTACAAATGGATAATGGATGGATGGGTGACAGATGATGAATAGATGATGGATAGATGGATGATGAATGGCTGGATGATTGATGGGTGATAGATGATGGATGGATGATGGATAATAGATGGATAGATAATGGACGGATGGATGATTGATGGGTGATGGATGATGGATGGATGGATAATGTTGGATAGATGGGATGATGGATAAATTATGGATGGATGATGTACGGAGTCACTGTCTTTTTCTGGACTGCTATGGTCCCTTCTATAACATCAGTGCTTGACTTCCTGATCTCTAATGTGCTTGAGTGTCTTCCCACCCAACCCTGTGCCCTTTGTTACCAGAGCCTGCAGGTTCTGAGAGTCACGCAACAGCCCTTCAGCAGCAGTCATTCGTTTCCTGAGGGTCATGGTGAGCTGCCGCGCTTTGGAGCTGGAACATTTAAAGTGGTCCATGAGGATGGGCTGGATGCTTTCCATCTGCTTCCAGAAAGCTTCCATCTGTGAGAGAGGAAAGTTTCATCCAGGAGACTAGCGTTTGGGAGTCACACCAAGTCTCTTAATGCCACCAGAGGTCCTCAGCCCTTCTGCAACTGAAGTGAGTTTTTGCCATGGCCGTCTCCTGTGGTAGATCCCCTCCCTGCCCCAGCCACCATGGGCACCCACCATGTTACAGAGGAGTTTTCAGCAAACACAGTCCATGGTTGCTGATAAGGAAGGAAGCAATGAGCTCGGCCTGCTGACATACTCAAAGGAGGTCAGGCTACCACCTGGGGGCATGTGAAACGACAGGTTCTCTCACAGGGAAATAAAAGCACAAGTGGTCATTAGACATTAGTCACTGTTCCAAAAGTACAGAAGAGTGACATGGAGAAGGGGATGCCGACTGTGGAAATGTGCTTTTAAAGCCCAGCCTTCCTGTACAGCATCTTGTCAGGAGCAAGGCTGGGAACAGTCAGCTCATGGCTGGGGTGTCAGGGGCTCCAATGTATGATGTCATGGCCTCTTGTGCTCCAGTCACAAAGATGCCAGGAAGCCCATCAGCTTCCCTTCGTGGCAGGAAGGTTATGTGTCAACTGTGTGCCTTGCTTGTTTACATATAGATAAACATGCCCTAGGGGCAGAGTAAGGGGTCCAGCAGAGTCCTCGGAGGTCACAGGGTGTGACATTCAGAAGCTACATTTGGTTCAGATCCCTTTAGCTCCTCACTGGACTGGGCTCCTCTCAGGCACTGACACGGGAAGATCCATCCTGAATATGGGCAGCACCATTGGGACAGTCTGGGGTCCCACACTGAGTAAAAAGGAGCAAGTGAGCTGAGCACCAGCATTCATCTCTCTGTTTCCTGACTGTGGATGGGATGTGACCAGCTGCCTCACTCTCCTGCTGACATGCCTTCCCTATCATGACTGCTTCCCCTCCAAACAAACCATGAGCTGAAATAAACCCTTCTGCCCTTAAGGTGTTTCTTATCAAGCATTTGGTCACAGCCGTGAGAAAAAAAACTAACGCGCAACTCACACTCTAGTTGCCTTTCTAAAGATCCTGCTGGACCAGCCGGCAGCACTTAGCAATCCTACACCCAGAGTCCAAGGGGCCCTTCTAACACCCAAACAGGGGCAGGACATGCAGGTCATTCCAGCATTAAACACACTGCAAGGTGCTACTTCTTTAATCTTGCCAAAATTGCTGTACCAGGAACCACGGTTCCCACACGGAGAGGAAAGCCGCACCTACATTGTCTATGAGCTGCTCCGAGTACTCCTTCTCCTTCCTTTCCACATCTGCCAGGGTGACATAGCCAGGGTCCCCAGCACCTAGCATCTCCGTGTTTGCCAATCTGGCCTGAAGCCCTCTTTCTAATTCTTCCAAGTCCTGGAGAGATTGGGGGAAAATAAATAAAAAGCTACTGTAATCAAATTCTAGGAGAACAAATGTTTTTATATTTACCAAATATTTTATAAGAAAGTTCTCAACAACAATGAAATTGTTGGGCCCTGTCTCTTTTAAATTTAAATTAAACTAAATTAAAGTTTTGAAATTTATGAGTGTGTATGAGTATTTTGTCTGCATGTATGTTAAGTGCACATATGTTATGCAGTGCCCATGGAAAACAGAAGAGGTGTCGGATTCCCCGGAACTGGAGCTACATATGGTTGTTAGCTGCCATGTGAGTGCTGGGATTTGAACCCAGGTCTTCTGCAAGAGTTGCCAGTGCTCTTAACTGCTGAGCCATCTCTCCAGTCCCCTAGGACCTGGCTTAAGGTTTGATGACGGGCTGGAGAGAGGGCTCAATAGGTGACAGCTGTTGCTGATTGAGCCCCGAGACGTGAATTCAATCTCCTTAAAACTAACTGTATAGGTGGAGGGAGAGAAAGGATCCCACAAAGTTGTCCTCTGACTTCCACATGTGTGCTCTGGCACATGCATACACACACATCATGCATTCATACATGATAACCAAGCTAAAACCTTATTAAACTTTGATGAGGGAAACCTTTTTCTTCATTAAACACTGAACCTCAAGAATATGGGATGATTTTCTTCTACACCCCCTAAAGAATAGGTGGTACTTAGCCAACAATGAAACCATGTCTTTCAACCATCACAAACTGCCAGAGAATGTCATGACCTCTAGTGGGTAGGAAAGCTCCTTCTTTACTCCTAGGGTTTCCATGGGGAAGGATTACACGTTACACCCCAGGGAGGAAGTGCTAAACCTTGGGTTCTAGAGCTAAGTGAGTGGAGAGCTAGCTTGCCCCGCCCCTTCCTCTTTGGGATGCCCTCTTCAGGGGAAGCCATTGCTCTGGTGTGGTCTCAGCACAGGGAGCAGGCAGCCCAAGCCCTGCTTCTGTGTGGGGAGCCTGAGGTAGCCCAGCTCTTCTCAGTGCGGGGGACCCCTGCGTGGTTCCTTCAAACCCCAGCACAGAGTGGGAGACAGCTCTCTCCTCCAGAACTGCGTTCCCAGTGGCCAATGAGGTGCGGCACCAGCCTTTTCCGGAGGAATAAAGCGGAGGCCCCTGCTGAGGCCCTGTGTGGTTTTCAATCCACTTTCCTAGATCAGAAACATGACAAATGGCAAGTTGAGGCATCAGCCCAGGCAGGAGGGGAACTGGAGCTTGTCCCTCCCAGCATGCATCCCGCCACTTCTCTCCACACGGGGGGGAACTTGCACCTCTTGTCCTTACCCACAGTTATGACCTGTGAATGCAGTGAAGTACTTAGAGCCCTATCCACTCTCAATGAGCAGGGCCAGTGTCATAATGAACAAGTCTGCCCAGTTCCAGACAGCTCTGGGAGAGGTAGGGGCAGGGTGATCTGAGGTGTCAAGCCACATTCTTTCCAGTGTACCCAGCACATCATTTCATCATTACATAATTGCAAATATCACCCTTAAATTCATTGAGCCCCACTATCCTCAGTCACATAATAATGGCCACTGACAGGACTCTTCCGGAAACTAATGCCTGATAAGTACTGTGTACATTGTCTGATGATGCTGACAGTGATGGTGGTGTGGTACTGAGGATGAAGGTCGAGGGGACAATGACTTCATGTCCCTGAGGTGCAGTCATCTGTCACGAGCAAATCTTCCCATGGAATCCAGAGGAATGCTGAAGAAAATACCTCCCAAATCCCAAGTATCCTGGCCGGGGTAAGAAGGGCATCTGTGGTGGTGATCACATGTATGACGGAGGGGGTGGTGATGAAGATAAACATGATAAAGCAGAGGAGGTGGCGATGGTGAGGGCATAAAACAACAACGACAGCAACAACCACTGATGTGCTAGATGGCTGGAAAGAGGGAAACTCAACTGGGGATGTATTTCCCATCGGATTGGCCTGTGGGCACATTTGTGAGGCATTTTCTGGATTGCTGAGTAATGCGGAAGGACCCAATCCACTGTGGGTGGTGCCACCCCTGGGCAGGTGGTCCTGGACTGGGTAAGAAAGCAGGCTGAGCACAGACCAGAGGAACAAGCCAGTAAGAAGCATTCCTCTGTGGTCTGTGCTTCGGTTCCTGCCTCCAGGTTCCTGCCTTGACTTCCTGTTCTGATTTCCTTCAGTGATGAGCTGTGACTGGGGTTGTAAGATGAAAAAAAATTCTTCCCTCCCCAAGTTGCTTTTGGCCAAAGTGTTTTATCACAGTAACAGGGAAACCAAACTAGAACAGTGATGTAGATGGTGACAGTGAGGAGGGTGAGGGTGGTGATGAAGAGGATAGGGACGGTTATGACAGCAATGAACACAACAGTGGTGGTGGTGCTGAGAACAGTGACGGTGGTGATGGCAGCGAGACAGCAACTCGGTCAGTGAAGATGATGACGGTGGTCATGGGAGAGTACCAATGCCGGTGATCACCACCATGATGACGATGGAGATGATGGTGAAGAGGATGGTTTTACTGATGGTGGAGGTCATAAGGATGGTGAAGATGATAATAGTGTCAATGACATCATGACATATCAACGTCAGCAGGAATGGTGGTGGTGACGATAACGATGATAGTGGCGGTGATGGTGGTAGTAATGATGGTGATGATGTTTGTGGTGCTGGTGGTGACGATGGTGATGGTGGGGGTGATGATGTTGGTTACAATGGTGGTGACGGTGGTGGTGGTGGTAATGATGTTGTGGTGATGGTAATGATGGTAACGGCAGTGATGACGGTGATGATGTTGGTGGTGATGATGGTGGTTATGATGGTGGTGACGATGTTGACGGTGGTGGTGATGGTGGTGATGGTAATGTTGGTAATAAAAGGAGAATGAACGTAGTGATGATGTTGGTGGGGATGAAGATGATGATAATTATGGTGGTGGTGATGAGGATGCTGGCTCCATCACATACCACAGTCTAGCTATCACTAGGCACCTGAGTGCTCAGAAAGGACAAACCAGGATCCCAGTACCACCTAGTCTCGTCACTCTTTCTGCAAATTGCACATGAAACAGTGCAAACTTTCTAGAAAAGACTGAGTATAGCACAAAAGTACTAACAGCTATGACCAATGGACAAATTCTATCTCTAAATTACCTCAAACTTATATAAACACATTAAATCATGTATGTATGTATGTATGTATGATGACATGAAAATTGGAGCAAAACTGTCTAGGGGGACAAAAGGGGTCCTGGGGGATTGCTCAATGTACAAAGTATACTTGTGTTCAAATGTCCTTATATAACACACACCACGTACAATGAATAGACACAATGAAAATTTTAAAAATACCCCAAACTTGTACAGAAAAATAACATTGGCAGTGATTGTCTTTGAATCGTGGGTGTAGTCACTCATCCCTGATGTCTCCCTCTTTCCCCAAATTTCAGTAAGTACCTTTTTATATGTAAGCTTACATTTTTTTTTTTTTTTGGTCTTTTTGAGACAGGGTCTCCCTGTAGCCCCAGCTGTCCTGGAGCTCACTGTGTAGACCAGGCTGGCCTTGAACTCACAGAGATCCACCTGCCTCTACCTCCTGAGTGCTGGGACTACAGGTGTGCACCACCATGCCCGGCTTAGCTTACATTTTTATATGCTATCAAATTGGGTTCACTTGGATATTATAATAAACTATTTTTATACATGAAATAAAAATACTTTCATATGATATTATATATTTTATCATTATTATGATTATTTATAAGTAATCTTGAGGTACAGGCTAAAGACTCACATGCTCTTGTTTTGAAAGAATCTTCTGGTATAATTCATCATTAGGCTTCTTTTTAGGAAAAAAGTCCAGGAGACACAATTTAAGAATCTGAATGAACATCTATTGGTAGAAAGGGAAGGAACGGGAGAAAGATTTAAGTTCTCTCTCTCCCTCTCCCCCCCATCCCTTCCTTCCCCACTCCACTGCCTGCCCCTGCCCTGAAAAACTCGACACCAAAGGAAAAGACCTCAGATTGGACACCATGGCAATGGTCTGTCATGGACTGCATTTTCAAATGAAGCCTCTAGAGAATGTTTTTCCCCTTCTTTCCTTCCTCCCTCCTCCCTCCCTCTTCTCGTCCCTTCCCCTTTTCTTCCCCCTTCTCCTTCCTCCCTCTCCCTCCCTCTTCTCGTCCCTTCCCCTTTTCTTCCCCCTTCCTCCTTCCTCCCTCTCCCTTCCCATACTTATGTCTACTCAGCGCCTATTCTATGCAGGTCCCTCATAATCCCCATTTCCATCTGGAGACTTGCTTCCTTGTGAGAATCATAGGGACAGCTCTATAGAACTGGGATGTAAAAAATTTCTCTTATTCTGTCTCCCCAGAGAGAGATGCCCCTCAAACCAAGGGCCCTCCCAGAAGCAGGAACCCCCTGGAAATTCCAGAGGGTACCATCTCACAGCATCTATCCAACTCCCACTGCTGGATCTCTGGAACCCGGCATCACCCAGATACTGCTGCTGTGAACATTCAAGTGCAGGCTGGTGTGACATGGCGCCTCTGGGACAGATGCCTGAGAGAGGAGCTGCTGGCTCTCTAGTCATCACACACTTTGTTTCTAAGAGGTGGCTCAAGTATCTTCCAGAGAGGCCACATTGTTTTCAGCAGTGTGTACAACCTCGCCTCCCCACAGCCTCAGCATGCGCTGCTGTCTGTTGTAGCTACTGCTCCGTGTCATTCTGTTGAGCGGTGGTCTCCCTGCCCATCCCTGCCTGAGCCAGAGCTCGTCTCCAGGTCCGGCCCAGCCCTGGCTATACTGAGGTCCTGTCTACAGTCCAGCGACAGGAGCTGCTTAGCCACAATCTGTGCTTGGATCTCATAAACCCACTGCCCCCATGTCTACTCCATCTTTACCCAGGCCTGTTTGCCTCACATCTCTGGGGCTCTTAGCACACGGGGAGCCTCATATTCCAGTTCCTGCCCTCAGGTGGGAGAGGAAAGGATGCCCCCACCTACCAGGTGCTTCTCCTGTCTCAGCATTGCGTCCACTTGCAGCAGGTCTTTCAGATGAAGGCTGCAGACACACAGGTCAATGTCTGCACTGAACCAAGGAGACAGACAGACAGAGGCCAGAGGGTCAGATGTTAGGATGCAGTCGGGACACTGGTCCCTACTTGGTCTGTGTGGTACCTGCTGTCAGTGTTCATGTTTCTCAGACTCACTTAGTAGGGGTCCAGGGAGCTCCTGGAAGCCAGGACTAAGAGATCAGTTAGTGTCAGGATTAACCATGCTCCCTTGTCATCTCTCCCTAGGGCTCATGTCTGGCTCTGTAATCCCAATATTGATCCAGTCCACATAGGTAATAAATAATGTGCCTGGGCCCCAGCTCTGGTGCTGCATTGCTGTGTATCCATGGGTGAGTCACTTAACCTTTCTGGGCTTGTTTCTTTCTTTGTAAAACTATCCACTGTAGCCCTGTGGTCCCCTTGGGGGTGGGGGTTCCTTACCTCTCACTGGCCAGAATCTCAGGGAAGCTGCTGACCCGGAGGAAGGCTCGGCGGAGGAGCCTATCATCACTAGAAGCTGAACGCATGCTGGAGGACGAGGTGCCATCGTCTTTGTCAGCCTGGCTCAGGCTGCTTAAGCTGCTGGCTGGTGAGGCCTCGGCCGGCTGGTGGGGCGGACGTGGCAGGGTAGCTGTAACCTGAGACAGGCTCTCATGTAGCGATGGGTTGGAGGAGCCATCCGCCAGAGGCTGCAGCAAAAGGAGGCTTGTCTGAATTGATTCTCAGGGAGAGTGTCCATGGGCCATGCATCTGTCCCAGGACCATGGCCATCCAGACACAAGAGAGACCAAATCACAGCTCATCTGTCTCCACACTGTACCCATGAAGCCAACCACCTGTACCAGGCTCCTATCCTGGAGCCGTCAAGATCTGCCGCCAAACACCTGGGTGCTCTGTGCTGACCTCTTCAAACTGACCTCTTCAAGGCCAACTGTCCTCTTGGCTCTCCTGTGACTGGCTTACACCCAGGAGCCTCACTGAATGTCTGCTCTAATCCATCTGTCCTGACATGGATCATCTTCCTGCTACAGGCCTTCATAGCTCTCCACTCCCCTCCAAGAAGCCCCCAGCTTCTAACCACACGCCGTGTGGCTGCAGAACTCACAGTCTGGCGGCTGGCGTGGTGGGCTCAGCTACCACCAGTGCTGCCTCTGCCCAGCCTCGTCACGTGCTGTCCAGGTCGCGCTGGCTGAGCATGCTCCACTCTAGACCCCCTCCTTGTTTTCTAGGTCTTTCTAGACTCAGCTGCTTTGCTGGATCCCACCTGTGCTGTGTGCTGGCTTCCCTCCCTGCTGGGTCCCTGAGGTTCTTGGCCATTCTGTGCTGTTGTCCTGACCATGGGATGGGCCTTGTCCCGGGGTGTTTGGCTGGCCAGGGCCATGCTGATGTATACCGTCCATCCATCTGCCAGACAGGTGCAAGGTGAGCTTCCCATAGTGTGCTGGGAAGTCAACCATGACTGCAATTGGCCCAGGAGGGATGAAGATATTTCAAAGAACCACGTGCGTCACTCCTTTGGGCTAACAGGCTCATGCGTGCACGCACATGCGCCAGAGGTCAACCTTGGCTGTTGGTCCTCAGTCACTGTCCACTTTGTTTTGTTGAGACAAGGTCTCTCATTGGACTGGAACTCATCAGTTAGGCTAGGCTGGCTGGACAGCTAGCCCCAGGGATCTGCCTACCGTGCCTCCACAGTGCTAGGTTACAAGTACACACTACCCTGCCTGCCTTGTACTTGAGTTCTGGGGACTGAGCCCAGGTTCTCATGCTCCCAAGACAAGCACTTTACTGACTGAGCTATCTCCTCAGTCAGGTTTTCAGACTTTAGAACCAATGGTCTTCAAGAAGTTAGAATTTATGTGGAAATCTCCACAGGGAAAAAGAAAAGGTTGAAGTCTGGTACCAGCCAGAGGTGGACTTTGTCTCCATGGAAAAGATTTCGACTTGTCAGACCATCTTGCAGATGGAGCTGAGGCAAAGATGGGTCACTGATGGGCAGGACCACATCTTGACCAGGACTGCTTAGCTATGCATAGCTCTGTCTCTGTTTAAACCTAAACCTCATGTGAGGACCTCAAGATGGACCTGAGGGGCCACTGGATCTCTTTGAGTCTCTTCCCACATGGCCACATGGGAAAAATCTCCTTTTCTACTTTTTGCTAGTCTCTCTAATGGGGCTATTGTGGACAGGTTGCCAAACCAAGCTTGTTAGAGCTGCAGGGCCCAGGCTTGACCCTAACAGCTACAGTAACACAGCCAGATGTTGTTCATCAGGAGGCTTCTGTGGGAAATGAGTTTGGAAGCAATCTCTAGTGCAGGAAGTCCCTGAGCCCCAGGTGTCCCTGCTATTCAAATCAGAACTGAGAGAGTCTGCCATGTGCTGAGTTTCAGGCCTCACACACGGTTTTAAGCCCTTCCATACACTGTCCTGCCTGAAGCCCAAGCCACCCATCACTGATGATCTCACGGCTGGAGAAGCCACAGCATGAAGAAGCAGGGAGAGGGCCACATGGCAAAGGCTAGGATGGTGCTGGAGTGACCCAGAGCATGTCCTGAGCACCAGAAACAGCAGGCCTTCCCCAAACATGTTTGGCCAGTACATTGTCCACAGGACATAGGTCTCTCCTCCTTCATGGCCACTCTCTGGAGACTCCAGCCAAGGGGGCCCTAGTCACAGACACAACTGTAGACAGGGGTAGGGGGTGGAGCTGGTCACTTCCAGCCATGTGACCTAAGCCATTCACTTGGTTTCTCTTTGTGAAGTGGAGACATTATTAACCTTCTGGATACCACAAAGCTGAAATACCTAACGTGTGATGTGATATGAGTGTCCAGGAAGTGCAGCCACTGGCATCAGTCCTGGGCAGAGTGGATGAGGAGGAAAGCTGGGACCTGAGCTACCTGCAGAGTCTGTGGCAGTGTTAGAGGGAGGACACTGCCCCTCTGCGTGAGAACCTGGTGTCCCTGAGGACCAAGTAATTGGTGTAACTCCTGACCTTGATGTGGCTTTGCATGCTCTGCTCTGACAGTGCCATCACAGAATGGGTCAATCTCATATTTTGCTCCATTACATACTGAACCCTCAGGCAGGATGGAAGCCCACACATCTAATCCCTATCCTGCCACCAGAGCCCAGCACATTACAGAGAAAATTGCATTGCTAAGATAAGACTTGCAGTACTTACCCGAAACTTCTGGTTGATTGGGTAGAGCACCCTGGCTTTCAGTGCAAATGACATGATGTTGCTGCTCAAAGACATCTCACCCTCCTGCAATGGAGAGAGAGAGAAGGGCATGATGGGATTTCTGCACAGTGAAGCCCCAAAAGACACATTCTACCTGTAACAGTGGCCTCAGGAAGGGGCCAAGACAGGCCAGTCTTGATCCTTGCAAGAACGGAGGATGGATGGATGGATAGTTGGTGGGTGGATGGTTTGGTAAATAATGGATTGGTAAATACTGGGTGCAACAATGGACAGAAAGATGGATAGAGATGAATGGGTGGATGGATGGATTGATGGGTGGACAGATCACTGACAGAGGTCTGGATCTATTGATGGGTGGATAGAGGATGGATAGATGAACAGTTGGTTGAGCGAATGGATGAATGAATGGATAGAGAGGTGCATGGATTAGCAAGTGGGTGGGTACATGAATGGACAGAAGGCTAGATGGAGGACAGATGTGGGAATACGTGTCCATGCATGTAGGTGTGTGTGCATATACGGATGATGACTGTGTAGATGGAGGACGAATGTGTGACTGGACAGATGAATAGATAGATGGGTGGGCAGGTGAGTGCATGTATGGGTGGCTAGAGGAGGGATTGGTGGGGGATGTATGTAGCATGGATGAATGGATGGAGGATGGACTGATTGGTGGTTATGTGAAGTGTGGATGAATGGATGGATGGAGAGAGTAATGGATGGATGGCTGAGGGGAGTGGTAGGTGGGTGGATATATAGATGTGTGTAGATGAACTGATGGACAGCTGGATGGATGAGTGGATTAGTAGATGGCCGTATGCATTGATGGATAATGGGAGGGTGGATGAATGGATGGGTGAGTGGGTGGATGTACGGATGATGGGAGGATGGATGGATGAATAGGTGAGTGAGGAGATATGTGGAGGTATGGATGGACAAATACTTGGGCACGTGAACAAATGTTTGGACAGACAGATACTATCATTTACTTCTAATCCTTCGGCTTTGGAGGCAACAAGGATTTGAAAACCTGGAAACAAATTAACAAGTCTCTTGAAGAACCATAAACAATCTTTAAGCAACTACAGAAGAACTCTAAGCTGGAGAAATTAGACACAGTGTTCCACAGCACAGGTGCGTCACTGTAGCCTGTAACGATGTATGAGGTTTCAAAGCAACTGGAAGAGTCTAAAGTTTCCCACCAGGCAGAGCTTATGGAAACGCTAGCCACAAGATTCACACACTGCATAGCACCATTACTATACTGCACTCCACAAGCATACATAATTATGTGTTAATTAAAAGTCAAAAATAATTATAGCACTGCAGGGTTATAAGTAGGAAGGCAATGTTCTCATGGGGCTGGAATAGAACCTTAAACCATCAATGAGCAGTTGGAAGCCTCAGCCTTCCTAGGCAGTCAACAGGGCTCTGTCCCCAGGACAGAGGGTACAAAGCTCCAGTTGAGTTCCTGGGACTGAGGAGACACTAGGCACTGGACAGCTGTAATGGTGGTGTTCATAAGCCCCTGGGAGCTGCTTGGGGACTGCTTCCCTGTCTCAGTGGGAGGGACCAATACGTAGCCCTCCCTCTTACTGAGATGCCAAGTCACCATGAGGTGGTGAATGAAGGGGAGGCAGCAGGAGATGCCTGCAGACCTCGAGCCCCTCCAATGGACATTCCCAAGCAGACTGAGGTAGGCTGGCGGCTCCCACCAGCTTCAGTGCTTGCAGACACCTCTGTACAAAGACCTCCAGAGTTAGGGACTGGTTCTCAACCACTAAGGTCATCCTGGACTCAAGACACCCCGTCCAGGAAAAGATGAACCTACCACCTGCTCATAATCAGGGCATTGACTTAGCACCGGACTAAGCCTAATGTGGCCTATGTGCATCACAGGGAGGGAAGCCACAGATACTTGCTTTGGGTCAATCACAGACTTAGATGACAAGAGTCAGGGAAGGCCAGCAGCATGTGTGCCCTCCCTGAGCTTCCCAGGAGTCTGCCATGGGGATCTCAGCTCTACTTCTCAGAGAAAAAAAGCTTCAGGGAGTCTGTCATACACTTAAGGTCACAAAGTTAAAAACAAGGCAGGGAGCCAGGGAATATATTGAACTTGGGCTCTCTGGCTTCGGGCTGTTACTACGTGGGCTCTTTCAACGATAACAAGAGAGAATGAAAGGTAGGATCGTGACATTATCGGGCTGTGGAAGCTCAGTAGAAAAGCCCCACTACAGCACCAAGGAGCCTGGAGCCCAAGTCAGATACTGAGGCTCCTGGCTACACCCACCCCCTCCTCTCATTTAACCAGCTACAGATTCCATCAACCCACCCTGCAAAGCACAGCCCCTGGTCTCAGTTACCAGTGTCTCTGGAGGGCAGCAGCAGCCTTCTTTCAGGCTTCTGCGTACCCCAAGACCCACTATGTGCCAGGCACTGCTGCTCGGAGAGTCCTCCCGGCCTGGGGGAGGTCATGCCTACCTCTTGGAGCGGGAATCTCGGACTCGGAGTTTAGATTCCACGAGGGACAGGAATGATCTTTCCAACCTGCAATTCCCATCCCATTCCAGTTCCCCTGACCCCAGGGCTTGCCTGCTCACCACCCTGCATCCCAGCATGCCATCTGTCTCTCTGCCTAAAGCTCTGGCAAAACGGTACAAAAGCAAAGAACCTGGTGAGAGTTGGTCAGACCTGGTTACATCATTCGAGAGCCTAGTACCGAGTGAAAATGAGGGTCCAGTGCAAAACGGATGAGGACTTCAGAATAGGGCTGGCAGAGTCCACAACAAAGGGCAGAAGCCTTCTGATCCCAGACATATATAGCCCCACAGGATGCATGCCCAGGACACTGGCCCTGCCTCATCCCTGCCCCCACCCCCAGACTCCTACCTGCTCAGGAGAAGGGCGCAAAAGCCTGTGCATTCTTTCCCTAGAGGGGATTGAACCCAGGATCCTGTGCACACCAGGCAAGTGTTCTACCACTGTGATATGTCCCCAGTCCTTTTTCATATTTTTAATTTGAGACAAGGTCTTGCTACATTGCATAGTCTAGCCTTGAACTCACTCTGTAGCCCAGGCAGGTCTTGAACTTGTGACCCTCCTGCCTCACCCCTGTGAGTAGCTGGGATGACAGACCTGCACCACTAGGGCTGGCGGCCCCGTGCAGTTTAAAGCTTTGTAGAAAGAGGGGTGGGAAGGGTTGAAAATGAGAGGAAGGCGTGGCTCCCTGCCTGGGAGAGTGCAAACACACACCATGCTCAGCATGGAAACCAAAGGAAGAGAAAAGGTGCGTTCACTGCAGGAGGCGGGCAGAGTCAAGGCACCCGTGGCAACTTGGGAAGCCTGGGCAGGGGCACTGGAAACAGCCCTGGCAGAGTGAGGCTCCACCTCTGGGGGATGCTGGTCTGACCACTGGCAGTGCAGTACCCTGGAAGAGAGGGTGTTCAGGCCCTGGCTGGAGATGAAGCACTCCGGAGCTTCGGGTGTGCACAGGCAAGGGGCAGACAGCTCCCGTCACCTGGAGAGGATTCCGAAACTTCAGTCCTCCCTCCAGAGCCCAGGTGTCCTCCAAACCTGATGGTCTCCCCACGAGGCGACGTGATTATCCAGGAAGTGGGTCACAGTGCAATTCATGTCGTGAAGCTCCAGCGTTTGGCATTAAGATTCTTTTCAGCCCTGTAGTTGCCTCCCCATCCCCAGCAAATGAAAAGTCAGAGATGCAGACTGTGGGGCAGCTGGCCTCAGAGCCTTCTGGAATTTTCTGTGCGATTTAACAGTCGGGAGCTATTCATTAAGCTGAGTTCATCCAAGGAATGGCAGGACCATGAGGCTGGGTGACGCTCTCCGTGCACCGGTGGACAAGGGAGATGTGGCTGGGCTCCTCTGGCAGAAACACCACCGTGCTCAGCAAGCTGCTGTCGGAACAGGCAGCTCTTAACTCAACCCTGGGCAATCATTAGCTTGGTAATGGGCACCTGCCAGGTACCCGACAGGTGGTAAGTTAACCCTTACTAAGCTGAAGTAAAGCTAGGCAACCTTTCATCACTGCGTGGGCTCACAGAGTGCCCTGCAAAACAGGGACACTGGCATGAGTGAACGTAGGCCTGGGGACCCCATGACAGGACCACTGCGACTCTCCCAGTGAGGTGCCCAAGGCTCAGACACGTTATATTTCTTGCCCGCTAACACAGAGCAGAGCTAGGATGAGCCCACCCTGGGTCCCAAGGGACCCAAAGTCGCCTCATACATTTGTTTTTCTCCTATTTCTTTGTAACAGTTTTTTGAGATAGGATTCCTGACCTGTATAATCATGCTTGGATAATATATAACCAATGGTTTTCAATGTTTCTGCAGACACTGGAAGAATCACCATGGCCCATTTTATAATGTTTCATTCCATCAGAGAGAAACCCAGGACTCTTCAGGGATCACACCCCCCTTTTCCTCTGCCCCAGACCCTGGTGACCATCTAGCTACTTCCTGTTCATATAAATTTCCTAGTTCTGGACGTTTCCCACGCACAGCATTCTTTCATTTGTGGTCCTCTAACTGGCCTCCTTAACTCTGAATAAAAATGACAAGGCTCACCCACAATGCAGCACCCAGCACCGTGTGCCTCTGCACAGCCAAACGGTACTGTCCTGTGTGATGAACACATATCTTCTCTTTCTCTGCTGTCTTTATTTTGTTTCATTTGAGTCTTTGTCTCACTATATAGCCCAAGCCAGCCTGAAATTCACCATCTTCCAGCCGCAGCCTCGGTGCTGAGATTAGAGATATGGGTGACCACATTTTGTCCATTCTCAGTCGATGCCATTTGTGCTGTTTACACAGTTTGGCTGCTGTAGATGGAGCTGCTCTGGATCATTTGTGTGCAAGCACTTGTGTGGGTGGGTTTTCTGTGTGAGCAGGATTTTAATGGTATGTAGGGAGGGGCATTGCAGCCAGAAAGATGAAGGAAAAAAGAAACAGAGATAGATGATCTCATACACTCATAGAACTCACATACACTGGCACAGGGACCCGGAGAGTTACCCAGGGAGATAAGGATACAAGGAGATCCACTAAGACACAAATACACACCCAGACACACATAGAGACAGAGGCGCTTGCTAGGGTCAGACAGACCCAGGGATACATCTGAACTTAGTCACTCTTCAGCTGTGAGAAATAGGAAAGTGACCTGTCTCGCTGAGTCTCAGTTTCCTCCCTCATCAGAGTATGAAAATAAATGAAAACTGAGGAAGAGCTGTTAGGAGCATCTCTATCACCACAAGGGACTTATGCACAACCACCAGGGGGTGCAATGAACCACCAGTCTAATGTCCCCTGTCCTGAGCTGATAAACGTCTGCAGTACCTCCTGGGCCACCTGGAAGTGTCACAGACACCTCCGCTGAGCAATAAAATTAAATGTAAGTTCTTGAGGGCCTGATGGGTAACTGCTGGACACTGGCAACAATCCTGTCCATCAACTAAACACTCAGCAATCAGTGAGCAGCAAATGGTGGTGTGCCCACAGTGAATCCCCACTAGGCAAGGAAATGGGACCAGGTATGGCTATGCAAGGGGACAGCCCAGCTCTCAGTGGCAGGATATTGGGGGAATGCACACAAAAAGGGCATAGAGCACCCTCCACACGAAGCTGGAGACATCCTGTGGTGATGCAAACCACACCTAGGATTGCTTCTGGAAGACATGCAACTAGAGATGGTACTAGAAGCTTTCTGGGGTGTTGGGACTTCAGGTATGAGGGAGTACATGTTTGATAAAACCCATCAAATTGTGAGCTTAAAATCTGTGCATTTTACTATTTGTACATGACAACTATTGGGAAAATAAACCAGCCAGCAGCTTGCAACATGACACTCCAGCTGCCAAGAAGAGAGTCCCACACCCAGCATGCACACCCAGCATGTACCCCCAACGCACGCGATCCCCCTGGCTGACCTCTGGAGCACCCTCATCCCTGGATGCCATTGCTTCTCTCTGGTGCCTCCTGGATTGGGGGCTGGTGTCCCGCAGGCTCTGTGCAGAGGGCTCTGAACTTCTGAGCAGGCGTTGAGTGTTGTCTTTCTAAAACCCAAAAGGGATAGAGAGAAATGGGATGCCGAAGTCAGTCAGCTTTATCCTCACCCTACGGTGCAGACACCAAATCCCCACGGAGCAGTCACCTCTGTTCCCCATGTGCCTCGCCCCCCCCACCCCGCTGGTACTTGCTAGGAGTCTTTTATGATCACCCAGGTCACCTTTCCAAGAAACCCCACGTCCATGAGGTGCCTATCTTAGGGTGTCCCCAGGATGCCAGGCCACTCCGGGAGCAAAGCTTTTGGTACTAAATTTCTGTTCTAGTATAATTTTTGTTGCTGTGAAAAAATATCCAGGCAGAAAGGAGTCACCTGCCTGCATTTACCTCCCTCCACCCTTGACTGTGATGTGAGCAGATGTCTCTGGCTCCTGACTTGACTCCCAGGAAATGATGGACCTCAACCTGCAAAAGCGACCCAGAATAAACCCTGTCTCCCCTAAGCTGTCATCAGGGCATTGAGCAGCAGCCCTGAGACTAGAACGGAACTTGTGCTCCCCGAGGGCTGTCCCTTTGCCGGGGATATGCAACTACACAGCGATTTTCCTGGTGTTCTCAATAAAGTCACTGGGTGAGTTTTTAAGAAAAATCGTCTTGGCTACCTTCAACAATGGCGTGATTTCTACTGAGAGTTATAACCAGTGTTCCCTCTGTGGATTTGGCATCTGCAAACCCACCACTTACTAAACTTTATTTGTAGATGTCAACGTTGATACAGTGTGTTGTTCACTGTCTCACATGACCAGTTGCCAGTGTGAGCAACTGGGGCCACCAGGAGCTAATCTGTGAACAAGGTGAGTTCCCTCTCAGGCAACAAGTGTCCTGGGGTGTACTGATTTCTACAGCCACTGTTTCAGGTCGTCTCTGGCTGTGGTCCTGAAGCCTGTCTAGCTCCTGAAGTGCAGGAGGGCGGGATGTGCCCAACAGAGGAAATCTGGCACAACACTCTGCTCTTTCTAAATGCAGACAAAGCGTTCTTTGAAATAATTATCAATACACCAAATAACACGTTACAAATCCTCGCATCCTATTATCTAGTAATTTGGATTAAGATAAACCAGCAGCAGCCTGAACACTGATACAGTGTTCACTGTTCTAACCCTTACCCAGAATGCACTGCTTTAAGGCTGCTAGCTGCTTTATATAAGTTACAAACTATTTACTACCTTTTCAAAGATAGTCCCTGAACTTTAAGAATCCATGAGGGAACAATTTAATCTCTTCAAAGAATTGGGTTTTTTGTTTGTTTGTTTTGTTTTTTCTACCAAACTAAGAAAGAAAACGTCAAGCTGGTACCTGTTGCTTGTGCAAACACATGGGAAAAGACAGTAGGACTCATTAAAGACAACAATGTAAAATGATGAAAATCTGTACCAAGGCCTGGGTTTGTTACTCTCCAAAGAGTGAAGGGACTGACTACAGCAGAGTGATGATTTAACACCTTTCCTACGAACAGAGCCTTCTACCCAGTTATGAGGTAGGTTTTGTGGCTTTCTGGCCTGATGTCACACATGAAAGCAAAGAGGTTATCCAGGCCTCACTTCTGTTCTGTGGAGGATGGTTATCTCCAGATCCCCCTCTCCACCTCACTGCTACAGCTGCCCCCCACCTCAGTGCCTCCAGACCCTTGGCCTCGGCCTCCTTCTCCCTCTGCAGGCCACATTTGCTCAGTCTTAGCCTGGGCTTCCTTGACCTTCTTCAGCCCTCCATTCTTTTGCTTGCTGGCCTAGCGACACCTTTTCTGTCTGCAGCAGCTGCTGAATCTGTGACTGACTCCCCTGCCCACGAGTGTGGCCTAAATCCCACAATAATGGTTTTTGAAGGTGATGGGAAGTGGAGGAACAAGGGAATCTAACAAGCACTTCCTCTGGAGTAAACGTTCAGTGTTCACCAGTTGAGGCCCCAGCAAGACCGAGGGGCATAACATTGTCAGGGAAGTTGGGAGATGGCTCAGTGGTTAAGAGCACTGGCTGCTCTTCCAGGGACTGGGGTCCAGTTTCCAGCACCCACGCAGAAAATAACAGCAGTTGGTAAGCCCAATTCCAGGGGATATGACGCCATCTTCTGGCCTCGGCGTGCATTGTATACATATGGTACACTTACATGCAGGCAAAACACGCACATAAGAATAAATAAAAATTCTTTAAAAAGAAATTTCTTGCCACACAAACATGAGGACTGAGTTATCCCTAGAACTCATGTACAGAGTTGGATGTGCGGTGTGCACTTTCAATCCCAGTGCTGGGGAGGAGGACACAGGTGGATCCCTGGGGCTTAGAGGCCGGTCCTCGGACACGACTGTCTCTGACTCCCTCCCGGAGCTGATGGCTGCTTGATCCCACTCGGGAGATGCAGAACTCGGACCCGGGCCCGAGGAGAACGGCGCCCCAGCCTTTCCCGCCGTCCCGGGACCCACCTGGTGGCGCGCGTTCATGCGGCTGGCGCGGAAGCTGAGCCACAGGCCGAAGCCCAGGCCGAGGCCGAGCGCGGTGCCCAGAAGCACGGCGGGGACCAGCAGCGCGGGCGCCGGCCGCAGGGCATCCCGGCCCAACTGCAGCCTCGCTTCGCTCTCGCAGGCCATGGGGGCTCAGCTGGGGACCCGCCGCATCCCGGCCGCCCTGCCGCCCTGCCCGCCAGCTCCGTGCGCTCCACTCGCGGCTCCCGGGCCTTCCCCGCACCGCCCGAGTAGGGAGAGGAGCCTGGACCCGCCTCCCAAACTTTCCGCCACTCCTGCCCCATCCCTGCAGTGCACAGAGCATGCGCGGCCAGAGACGCGCCTTCCAGCCCAGGACTCCAGTGCATGAGTCCCTGGTCATACTGGTCTCCTGGGTCCTTGTGGGAAAGGGACCCCAGTAGCAAGCCGCTGCTCCTGTCTGGACACCGCCTGGAGACCTCACTAACTTTCTCGACAGTTGACTGCTTGTCGTGAGGAGGGCGCTCCTGGACAGAACCCCAAAGGGACAGAATGCAGGTCCCACTCAGAGAGCTCCTGACAGCTACTAGACCTTCCTTCCCCAGGGACACAGCCTCTCCCCAGCCACTGCCTCCGAACTTGTTAATTTCTAACTCTTAGAGTGCCAGCAGAGTTAGTTCTAACAGAGTTCTCTTAGAACTCCTGTTTTAATTCTGCAAGACTTGTCTCTAAGAGAATGAGTAGACAGAATGCCACATTGGGCCCCCTCTAGAACCCAGAAATCCACCTCCAGTCTAGTTGGTTTCTTCATCTCTTCCTCCATTCCATGTGGGTAGGATGGGAGCCATCGCTGGAGTTCCTTATCCTTTTCAAAAATGGAACTGACAGGTAGGAGAAGTGACTTGTTCAAGGTCTGGCCACTCAGGAGTCCAGCAGCATTGACTGGGGACTGTGCCTGTGTGACTTCGGGTCACAAGCCTGCTAGGAGAAACTTGGAAATGTTCACAGGATCATCTTTGTGATCATAGCCTTATGCTGTAGTCTTGTGTCTCTCTGGATGCCCAGGCTATGTAAACATACAAAGGCCAGGCATACAGCCGTGGGTTGCCACTCACCCTCCGTAGGAGATCACCTGAGTCCAGGGGTTCAAGGCCAGCTGGGGTAAGAATAATACCACATGATTCCTGTCCAAAGAAGGGGGAGCTGCTGAAAATGAACGTTGTGGGCATTTTGTCCTATTCTAAAGGTGTTTGAATGTCCAAATCAGGCTTTAAATTACCCTCAGGGCTGGAGAGATGGCTTAGCAATTAAGAGCACTGACTGCTCTTGAAGAGGATCAGCACCCACATGGTGGCTAACAGTGGATCGCAACTCCATTCCAGGGGATCTGATTCTGTCATCTGGCCCCTGTGAGCACTGCAGGCCTTTGCACATGCAGGGAAAGCACTCATATACATAAAAAGTAATTTAAATTACACACTCTCCTGTAACATTGTCGCTGGAAAAAGATGCCCAAAGACACTGGCATGTACCTGTCTCTCACCTGGGATCATGCAGCCCTAAGGGCAGATGAGCAGGTGTGGAGGCTTGGCTAATATGTTTTCAGACCCACAAACTGATGGCCTCGTCCAGGTCAGATCAGGAAGGACCCTGCCTTGGAGGGGTGGGAAAGGCTGGGTACAGGACAGGGCTCAGCAGGACAGCTCACAGGAGAGGGACAGAAGCAGGCCCAGCAAACTGCCCTCCCAGCCCCACCCTCTCAGCATATGCATACAAAAGCCCTGTCCCCTTGGGGTTCAGCCCCAGCACACTCACTGGCCAAGGGGTAGTTTTCCTGTTGGGGAGGCTGGGCAGGCCCAGAGGCAGATCCCCAGACTGGGCTAAACCTATGGGAAGTGAGGGTCTTTTTTTCTCTGCACCTCGTGCTCTGCCCCCCACCCCCGCTATCCTGTCCTTCTGATAATCAATGCCAACTTTCTTTTTAAAATATTGTATTTATTTTTATGTATGTGAGTGTATTGCCTGCATGTATGTGAGTGCACCCGTGTCCTGCAATGCCGCAGAGGTTAGAAGAGGGCTTTGGATTCCCCTGGAACTGGAGTTAAGGATGGTTCGTAGTCGCCATGTGGGTGCTGGGAATTGAACCTGGGTCCTCTGCAAACACAGTCAGTGCTCTTAACCGCTGAGCCATCTCTCCAGCCTCCCTAGTTACTTTCTATTGCTATGATAAAATACTGATCAAAACCAACTTGGAGAGGAAAGAGTTTACTTCACCTTACAGCTTACAGTCCATCACAGAGAGGAGCCGGGGCAGGAGCTCAGGGAAGGAACCTGAAGGCAGGAACTGAAGCAGAGACCATGGAGGCACACTGCTTACTGGCTTGCTCCCCTGGTCTGTGTTTAGTCTGCTTTTTTATAGGACCCGGGACCACCTGCCTAGGGTGGCACCACCCACAATGGGCTGATCCCTCCCACATCACTGAACAATCATCACCCCAATAGAGGAGAGTCCCCAAATGATGGTCCCTCTTCTCAGGTGTGTCAAGTTGACAACTGACGCTCTCCAGCTCATGTGCATATGGATTGCTGAGCTACATATGGATCTCAGGTGGGATTTTCCTAAAGCAAGAAAGACAGACCTGTGTCTGTCTCAAGATCATCCTACCCATCTGGGCTGCATGAATGTGAGTGCACCCGTGTCCTGCAATGCCAGGGAGGTCAGAAGAGGGCTTTGGATTCCCCTGGAACTGGAGTTAAGGACGGTCATAGCCGCCTTGTGGGTGCGGGGAATGGAACCTGGATCCTCTGCAAGAGCACTCAGTGCTCTTAACCGCTGAGCCATCTTTCCAGTCCCCAACCCTGACTTTCTAATGCTTCCCTGGTATCTAATTGGGGCTGAGGTAGGAGGATACTGGGGAGTTCAATCTGTCTCTGGAATTTCTAGTCGGAAGACTGAGCTGAGCTTTAGAGAACTGGTGGGTATTAGTAGGGGAGGAGGGCGATGGAATGGGATTTGGGATTGGGTGCCAGGAAACCAAGCGGGGCCTTGGGCACTGCCCTGCTCCCTCCTACGCTGTTCCAGGCACCTCCCGCCCCTTCAAGCTTCTGAACCTGGGATGTGTTCCAGAAAACTTTCAGAGGCAGCTCTCACTGAGCATGCTCGGTGGCGTCGCGGGGCGGGCCTGGGGTCCGGAAGCTCCGGGGACTCGGCAGCCCGGCCTGTGTGAGGTCTCCCATCACCAGCAGAAGATGGGCACCGGGAGACGAGCCTCGTGGGTGCTGGCCGGAGGCGCCCTGGCCGCCGCCCTGGCGCTGGGCGTCCAAGGCCGGCTTCCCGCGGAGGCTGGTCCCCACCCGCATCCCCTAGGCGCGCACCGGTCTGGCGACCTCCTGGCAGCTCCCTGGGCTGCACAGGGCCCAGGGTCGCCTTCTGGACCTGGCAGGGTGGGACCCGAGTGGAGCTCACAGGTAAGTGGGGCGCCCAGGCCCGGGTCTGACTTGGGGGACCTATTTACATGCTCCGGGAGAGACCCTTAGTGTGGGGCACAGGATCAGGGTGGAAGCAGAGACTGTATGTGATGCCTGGTGGTGCCCTTAGTGCAACCAGGTATACCCCAGAACTCCAGGACTGGTGAAGCCTCAGGGTTAGTGGCCATGGGCCTGTACCTGGCCATAGCCTGGGTTCGACTCCCACCCGACATTCTAAGAGTTCTGTGTCTGAGGCAAGTTATGTCATTTCACTTCTTCTGTCTTCCTTTCCCAGGCCAAGGAGAGAGGTCGACTGCAGAGAGACATATTAAGTTAGGCTGATTAATGTATAAGACTGATGTGCGGGTGGGTGTTGTGAGACCTGGTGAGCAGGGCTGGCCTTTTACCTGATACCACTCTCCCTGATAGAGTAGGCCACTGGCTTTGCTGGTGACCTCAGACTTGGAAAGGCACAGGGTTCCCACTCTCCTCATAGAACCCCCTCCTGCACCTGATCCACCACCCTCCTTCCTTCTCAGGACCAGTCAGCAAATCTTCCCTACCCTCTGGCCCTTGACTGTCTTTCCCCTGGGTCTCGACCATCTTCCCATGTCCCTTTAATTTGTGTCCTATCTTGTGCTGGTCAACTTGAATTGTCAACTTGACACAAACTACAATCACCTGGAAGGGCATCTCAAAACAGATTGCTTAGAACCAGGTGTCTCATGAGGGATTGTCTTGATTGTTAATTGATGTGGGTAGACCCAGCCTGCTATGGGCCACACCTTAGTCTGGGTCCTGAATTACATGAGTAGAGAAAACTAGCTGAGCCCTAAGTGCATGTGTTTCCTCTCTCTGCTCTGGACTGAGGATGGGATGGGACTAGCTGCTTCAAGTTCTTTCTAACTTGACCCCCCCATCCCGCCAGCCCCCATGAATTGTGAGCCCCCTGGAACTGTGAGCCACAGCAACTCCCAAATTGCTCTTTGTTGCTTTTCTGTTTTGAATCTTATCACAGCAACAGAACATCTCTCTTCCTTCCTACAGATGTGTAGGGAATGTGTCTGGACTCTGCCTACCACTTCCCTGCTTCCCCACATGGCTCCTGGCAGCAAGCCCAGCTTCTGCCCCTGGGAGGCCTGGACAGAGGTGTAGACCGTTGAGACCAGCCCTGCCTCTCCTGCACGCCCTCCACCTGAGGTCCTGAGCACCCTCACTTGGACACACTTGCTCAGGGACTTTGATGTCCTAAGGGGATTCTGTTCCCTTAATGTCCTACGTGCTGTCTGGGTTGCTGCTGTACAGTTTTTTGGGCTTTAAGCCCAGTGACACACATTTTCACAGGGCTTTTTTCCTTAGTCTTCCCTGGGGAGGTGGGAAGTTTGTGGCCCATTTGGCAAAACCAAGGCCCAGGAAAGCAGCTCCAGCCCTGAACTCTCACTGTGGCCCCCATGGTCAGAGCCTGTGCCCCCAGCTCCAGCTTCTTTGCCTGTCTCCCTTTCCTAGAAAGCTAGTGTGGAATGTTCTGGTGGGTACTTGCCCTGTCAGGAGCGGGTGGAGTATGAAAAAAGGGAAGGAGGGTCAATGCCCTCTGGGAAGGCCCCTAGGCCATCCAGGACCAAGGTGACCCTGGCACTTCCTTGTCACAGGCCAGCTTTGTCCCTGATAGAGCCTAGAGTGAGCACCTGTGTCCAGATGGCCTTGGTGCCCTGTCCACAGGGCTAGCCCTTCTTCACCACTGTGAATCTGTCTCAGACAATCCCTCTGTGAGCTGGGTCTTGGCCATTCCTCCCTTGGCCACTTCTTTCTGTGGGGCATGGGGCAAGTCATAGCCCCAGGCCTCAGTTCTGAATAGTGTTGTGAACCTGCTTCCAGAATACCTTCCTGAAAGAGCTTATCAAATGCTTTCCCCATGGTTGTCTGAAACCTTCACTGGTCCTCCTCCTTCCCCTCCCTCCCTCCCTCCTTCCTTTCAGTATATACACTTACCTACTTTTGCCAAGACCTGTGCTGTGTGCAGGGGGCTGGAGAGAGATATTCACAATTGCCTGTGGCTTAAGCACTTTGAGGGGAATGAAGGACTTTGAGGGCTGTTAGGGGAGGAGAGTCACTCAGCTGGGGAGGTCACAGGAGTATGATTTGGTGGAAACGTGAAAGTTGACTAGGTTAGTCATGCAAAGAGCGGCAGAGAGAATCCTCAGAGCACAGAAGTTTGCTGGGACAGGTAGGCCAGACCCTGAGTGGGTGTGGCTCCAGGAAGGAGGGGTCTGGGCATCTTCCACTATCTCTGGCTCCATGGCACCCAGGCATCCTTGGTCAGATCTTTATTCCTTGGCTTGGGCTCCTGTCTGCCTCCTGGGCAGGAATGGTAATCTGCTGGGGTGGTGCTTCTTCTTTCATTTCTTCATTGACTGCTTACCCAGGTTAGTCAGGTACTTATACTCCAGTGGTTCTCAAAGTGGGGTTCAGAAAACCCCTGGGTCCCTGAACCTCCTCAGGAATCTAAGGACTCAGGGCTATTTTGATAGTAATAGTGAGACTTGACCTTTCCATGAATTTTCTCAGCATTATGTGGCATGGGGCACTGGGGAAGAATTCACACACAGGCATAGTTGAGAATTTAGCCATGTTTATTAATCCAGACCCAGGTGACCTTCTGAGAGTGTAAAATAATGTCATCAGGATTTTTTTTTAATTTTTGGAAAAGCTAATTATTTTTCACACACTATCCTGTTTGTGTGAATATGGATAGGAATTATTATATCTATTTTAAAAGATGGATATTTAACTACTTTGCCTTTTAAAAACTCTTGTCTTTCAGTAGTATGGGGGAAATACAGTAAATATTGATAAACGTATTCTATGCAAACCAGAGTTCTTCAGAATTCTTAATAACTGTGTGAAGAGTCATGAGACCAACAAGTTTGAGAACCACTGTTCCCTTGCTAGCCCTGTCTGGCTTTCCAGGATTTGGGATGAAAGAAGTCACCTGCCCCTTTGAAAGATGAGCCTGTATCCCAGGAGGCCTGTGCTGGGATACATATGACATTCTCTTTTTGAAATGCCAAGCAGTCATTAGGGGTAACTTGGGTGCTAAACTGAATGCATGGGGGTGTGTCCCAGGGAGAAGGGGGAGGAGGAGAGATGGGGGACCAGAGCTAGGTACTGTGTGACACTATCTGGTACACTGTCTCAGAACTACAGTCCCTGTCTGTGTGTAGGAAGCCCAGAGGTTGGTGGTCTCTGGGGGTTCCCCTGTTTCCTCTTGATCTTTAGTGGCTGGAAGAAAGTTCTCCTTTGTGGATATGCAGGACCTTAGCTCTATAGCCCCTGACAGCTCCCAAATTCTCTCCAGCAGAGCCCTCTTGAGCTGCAGTGCAGTGTGGCTCTATCTGCCTACAGGATGACCCTCCACAGGCCTAATCCTGTTCCCTCCACCTTGTGACCAGGGGCCACCTGCCTGGCTCTGTCCTTGGCCTTCCGCACTTTCCGTCTGCTGGCAGAGTCCCTGTGCTCCATTTCCAAATATGACAATGGGCTTTTCACTGTATATCCATGACCTTGGCCACAGTTACCATCTGTATCTTGGCTGGACCTTCCCACCCTTGCTTACTTTCTCTGTTTAAAGTGACCACTTCTCTCCACTCCTGGGATTGGGAGGGGGTGGCAGCCTGTTGGTGCTCCTAGCAGGAAGTGAATTACCAGTGTGGCCTGAAATCCCCCATGTGGCCCCTTACCACACTGCCCTCCCCTCTTGTTCCTGTCCCAGGTTGCATCCTCAGGCATGCTGGACTCTGTGCAGGGCCTTGGCACATGCCACTCCCCTGATGGTTCTTCCCCTGAACTTCCCACAACCCCTCCTTGCCTCCTCTAGGAATGTACCATCTCAGGTCTTCTCAGATCCATGTTGAAAATTGCAGTTAGTTCTGTGGTGGTATCCCTGTTGTGCTGGGTAGCTTTAGTGTCAACTTGACACACGTGGGTTGAGGGAGCCTCAGTTGGGGAATTGCCTCCATTGGACTGGCCTATGGCCATGTCTGAGGGGTATCTTCTTGATGAGTGATATGGGAAGGCCCAGCCCACTGTGGGTGGTGCCACCCTGGGCAGATGGGCCTATGTTGCATAAGAAAGCAGGATGAGCAGGGGCCAGGGAGCAAGCCAGTAAGCAGCGTTCCTCCATGGTCTGTGCTCCAACTCCTGCCTCCAGGTTCCTGCCCTGAGTTCCTACCTTGGGCTCCCTGATGAACTGCGACCTGGGAGATGTAAGACAAATAAACCCTTTCGTCCCCAAGTTGGTTGGTAGTGGTCAGAGTGTTTTGTCACAGCAATGAAGAAACAAACTAGGATACCTGCCATCCCAGCCCTTGTGGGTAGACGGTGGTATCCCTGTCATCCCAGCCCTTGTGGGTAGATAGAGGCAGGAGGATCAGGAGTTGAAGATTATCCTCAATTCATAGTGAATTCAAAGCCAGCCTGGGCTACATGAGCCCTTGTCCAAAATAAAAAGTCTGCGGCTCCTGTTGCTCTGTCTCTCTCACCTTTATTTCTCTCCCCACATGAGCTGGTTAGTTTTAGACGCCAACAATCTAGTCAGCTAAGAAGGAAGTCTCAGCTGAGGAATTGTTAGATCAGATTGCCAGTGACTGGAATCTTCCTGGGGGTGACTTGAGTGGTGTGAGCAAAAGTTGGGCTGTCACTCAGTTCAGCCATGTTCTTCGGCACTTTATTAAGGACAGCTTTCTTCTGGCTTGTATGGCCAGGCTCTTCTTTCTCTCTAGACCTTCATTGAACTGGCCTTTCCTGTCTATGTACAGTGTTCACGCCCCACCGCCATGGTGCACTGAAATTCCCAAGAGAAAAGGAAACCCGTGCCAAAGATTCTACAAGGCTTATTGACTAATTAAACTCCCGTAATTGTAGAGAGTTGGACTGTTACAAATCCAGAGTCAATTATCTTGGGCTGTCTTGAGCCCCCTTAATTCATTGCCCACTCTGTATTTGACCTAACATTCTACATGGCCTCTCCTCTGAGCCTGTTATCTCCCCATTACCCAGTTCAAAGCTACAGCAGTACTTTCAGGGATTTGTTGTAGCGTCTTGCACAGCCCCCTTCTTGCTAAGTCACTCAGCCTCAGGTATTTTGTTACAGTAGCACAAAGGGACTCAGATGCCCCCACACAGACAGCTTTCAGAACTGGACCCTGCCTCGGACTGTGCCCCACTCAGCTCAGGTACACGTTCCAGGGCCCAGCAACCAATGAACACACTGTGTGAACACAGACAACCTCATGCTACCTGGGCACCAAGCAAGGCTGCTCTCCTTGTCACTTGTGAGGCCTGGGATGAGTTCCAGTTGCCCAGGTTTGGAGCTTACTGTGGAATGGGTCAGTCGGCATGAGGCCTACTTGGTATGTCGCTTGGTATGCATGGTACAGGACTTGGCACGCCAGGAGGGCCTCATCTAGGTGGTGTTAATAATTATTACGTGGTAGGGAGAACTACCAAGCCCCAGTGGTTCACAGTGGTGTATGTGGGTATGGCTGGACTCAGCTAGATGTATTCAGTGTGGTAAAGCAAACTTCAAGGATGTTTGAGGTGGTCGCTTTTCAGAGGGACCTGAGACTCAGCGAGGCTGAGAGACTTGGCCAAGGACACAGTGAGTCAGTGGTTCTCCAGATACCACATCTGGAGTTTTGTCTTCCAGCCTGATAACTTGCAGGATGTTATACCAGACCAGGAATAAACTGTAGTTAATCTCATATCTGGCCTCTTCCTTCCTCATGGGTTTGATTCCCAGCCCTTTAACACTCCCTAAATGAAATCTTCCAGTTAACTGAGATTAGACGCAATTCTTGTGCCAACCTTAAAAACGTTTATCACAGTCTTGTGCTTTGATTAAACACACATAGCATGAAGCACCCTTTGTTTTCTAATGGTTTCTCTATTTTATCATAGAACAGAGCTGGCTCAAGAGAAATTCAAGGTTCCTCTGAGAACGGAGTGATCTTCCAGAAATGCGCACTGGTAAGTTTCCTTAAGTGGCTTATATTTGAGAGAAAAGAATTGAATTTTGCCCAAATAATTTTTGTAGCCATGTATTTAAGAACAGGCAAATCATAGACTTCTCTGCTCACCCCGAGACCCACAGTGACAAGAGAACACAAGGCCTTATCCTGTACGGCCACTCAAAGGCTGCTAATGAGTCATCGATAGAAAAACTCCAGTGGTCTTTACAGTAAGGATGGGCGCATGATACATTTATCTTCATATTATAAATATTAAAATGATTCCTGGTGGTTTATAAACTTTGTCTATGGGCCAGCAAGATGGCTTAGTGGGTAAAGGTGCTTGTGGCAAGACTTGGAGACCTAGGTTCAATCTCTAGGAACATGTGGTGGAAGGAGGGAACCAGCTCTCGTAAATTGTCCTCTGACCTCCACATGAGCTCTGTGAAATGTGCGTACTCTTCCCCAAAATAAAATAAATAAAAATGTATGATTTTAAAAATATGCCTAATGCTCTTTGGCTGTTTAACCTTATGAACCCCACGGGGTGCTGTTTCTTAGCACCTTGTGTCGGCCCCATCATCACCCTTAGGTTCAGCTACTTGTGAAATGGACACAGAACCCATAAGGGCCGTGTGCTCAGTTTCAGTTCTTTACAGTGGAAGGTTAAGAGGAGGGAGTGAAGGAACAGGTGAACGTGGTGCAGCCTGGAGTAGGGGGCACAGAGCCTGGGGGTGCAGAGCCCACAGAGAGTGGGGCTCAGGGGAGCAGTCCAGGAGAAGCCGAGTCCAAGTTCCCAGGGGGCCTCGCCAAACAGAGTTTGTAGACAGTGCCGTTCTCTAGTAGCCAAGCGGGGACTCCCAGCCTAGCCGTGGTATCCAGGGTTTTCCTTAGGGTCCTGTCACATAGGCATGCAGCTTCTGTAACAAAACACCCGAGCCTATTAGCTTATACAGAGGGAAGGTCTGTTTGGGTCCACAGCTTTGGAGAGTTCTGCCTGTGACTGACTGGTCCTGTTACTTTGGGCCTGTCAATCATCATAGCTGGAGTATATGACCAAGGAGGCCTGGTCACCTTATGGTGGCCGGGAAGTGAACAAGAGGATGACAGGGAGACTGTGGCCCCATAGTCTCCCCTTCTAGGGTGTGTCCCCATAACCTCCCATCTCCCCACCCTCCTCGTGTGTGTGTGTGTGTGTGCGCGTGTGTGTGTGTGTGTGTTGTGGTATCTTCTTTAACGCTCTCAGCTGACACACTGAGGCAGAGTCCCTCACTTGAACCCAGGGCTCACTGATTCAGCTGGTCTGCCTCGTCAGCTTGCTCTGGGGATCCTCTGTCTCTTACCTGGGTTTGGGGACTCCTCACTGTGGTCCTCACACTTGCACAGCATGTGCTTGACCCACTGAGTCATTTCCCCAATCCAGGGGACACTACTTTCTAATAATGCTATGGACTGGGGTCTGAGCCTTTAACACCCAGGCCTTTCAGGGCCATTCCAGATTCAAACATAGCTGACTAGTTGTGTTGCAGGAAGAACCCGGGTGAGGAAGACCAGCCAGGAGGAAGGGACCTGCTGGAGGCCAAGTGGCCCCCAGACACCCTGTGTAGGGCTCAGCTGAGTCATCAGCATGACCAAGTTAGCCACAGCTGTTGTTTGCTGTTCTGGGTGTCAGTGGGTGTCACGTGTCCCCATCTTGAGTACCATTCTGTGTTCAGGAGACTTTTCAAGGTTCTCTTGGGGAAGAATTTCAGGACCCCTGTTTCTCTGAAGCCATCTTTAAGAACAAGCTTGCCTTGGGGCTGGAGCGATGGCTCAGTGGTTAAGAACACTGGTTGTTCTTGCAGAAGATCTGGGTTCGAATCCCAGCACCCACATGGCAGCTAACAACTGTCATTAACTCCAGTCCCAGGAGACCTGACAGCCTTTTCTGACCTCCGCAGGCATTGCATGACACAGGTACACTTACCTGCATGTACGCAATACATGCATACACATAAAATAAAAATAATTAAAAAAAATTAAAAAAACAAACATAAAATAAAAATAATTTAAAAAAATTAAAAAAACAATAAAAAAGAACAAGCTTGCCAAGTGATGGTCAGAATTCTCTGGACTCACACTCATCAGAGGGAGCTTCGAGGAGGCTTGGAGCCTCTCTGGGATTCTTCAGAGTCACAACTTGTGGGTCATCATGGGAAGCCAGACTGATGAGTGTGCCCTCACCCCTGTCCTCCTGTTCCAGGTATCCGGGCAGAGTGAACCACAGACCATACATGTGCAACTGTGGGTGAACAACACCAGTACAGCTGTGTCAGCCAACCTCTCAGACCTGCTCCTGGTGGATGAAGTCACGGGGCTCACTGTGAGGGAGTCGGCTGGAAATAAGACCCTGGATGGACTCCAGACTTTCAGAAAGAAGTTTCTGCCAGGTAATGGCAGAGCTTGCTATGTTGGGACGGTGATTGATGCACACAGAGGCTTCAGGCTGTTGTGTGCAGACACGTGCTCCAGTTACCTCCCCCTGTTCCCTGGGGTATAGGCCCATGGCAGAGCTGATCCACAGAGTGGCGTACCAGGAGACTTCCCCACTATCTGCCACTGAAAAGCTGGACTTGCTGCTCATGTGGGATAGAGGTGGGGTTAGGGAAGAGAACTCTCAATTTTTACTATGAACAGTTTCAGTCAGACATAATGATAATTATTTATACGGATCCATCACCCTGATGACCAAAATTACTACTGGTCAGGAAGATGGACAGTTTGTTCTGCGTGATACTGGATAGAGACAGGGATGGGTTGTCATCAGCCTCAGAAGCATGCTCATGGAATATTCAGGCATGTTTACTCATGTTTAAGTGTGTTCACTGATGTGTCAGTCAGCTCTCTGTTACTGTTACAAGATGCCTGAAGTAATCAACTTGTAAAGGGGAAAGGTTTATTTTGGCTTAAATTTTGGAGGTGTGACCCCATTATTGATTGGGCCTGTTGCCTTGGGCTGTGTTGACACACTGTGACAGGAGCTTATGGTGGCTCAAAGCCATTTGCCTTATTATGGTGTGAAATTGAAAGAAGAAGGTATCAGATGGAACCCCACAATCCCTTTTGAGGGCATACCCCATTGTCCCAAATCCCTCCATGTGTTGCACAGGTCTTTGGGGACAGTTTATTCCAAACTGCCATTTCTGATTGTTTACACATCAGGAGACTGTGAAGCTATCTCTCACAGGTCCCTCCTTAGGTGAGCAGTCACTGCTTAACGAAGCAGATCTTATCCAGGTCCTGGATTCCATTGTTATCTTGACTTCAGAGACATCCATTCCCAGGATAGTGGAGATGCCCTTTCTGGTTGGTAGATGCCTTGTGCACAGATAGAGAAACTCAGGCTGGAGTGGGCTGGAGAACTGACCCATGTCTGTGGGCAGCAGCCATGCTGACATTAAAACAAACAACCTGACCCCACCCAGCCCACCACACCCTGGAGCCCCTCACCAGCCCACACTCATGCCTGGCATGTGGCCCATGTGGCTTCAAATGCTCACTGTGCCCTTGAGCCTGATGAGCCCTCGGAGTCCTTTTCAACGCAGTGCTCTTGGCAGAAACTAGGGGAACAGCCCTGTTTGGTATCTCAGCTAGGCGGCCCTCGGGGCATACCTTCCTTCACTGATTTAAAGACCAATCTCTCCATTGTTAAGCTAGAACACAGAGAATGACACGAGAGGCATGAACTGAGCACAGGCTTATTGTCACACGGTGCTGAAATCTACTTTGGCCTGGCAGTTTGGCTGCATGGTCCCAGAAAGCCTCTGGGCAGTCTGGTCCAGTGTCCTGGTGCCTCAGAGCAGGGCCTGAGGGTGCTGCTTCCTAGGGGCAGCCAGCCCCCCTGAGAACTTACTGGTCAGAAGTGTGTTACAGAGGGAGAAAGGGGCCAGGAGAGACCAGCCCTTCTTCCAGAGGACGTGCCAGCTCCTGGCTAGGAGTCCTAGAGCAGTTTCCACCTCCTTCTCCCCACTGGATCACTCCCAGAATCCTCTGAGTATATGAAAGTCAGAGGTTTCTTGCTCGGGGTCTGGCTAGGCTGCTGAGCAGCTGGGGCTGGAGTGGGCTTGGCAGGGGCTAGGGGCGTGACTAGATCTGTGTGTTGGGGGGAGGCAGGGCCATTCGGGGTGTGGCCAGTCCCTTCCTGACCTGCACTGGTTTCTCTGAGCAGTGGGAGAGTACTACTCCATCAGCTACTCAGCCTCGCTGGACCCCACAGCCCTTGGGACTGGAGACAGCCTGAGCCTCTCAGCATGGCTCACCTTCCAGAGCCCCTCACAGGTAGTGCCTCTCACTGTCTCTTGGGGCTTCTCACTGCAGAGGATGGTTGGTGGAGGATGCTGAGTTTCCCTGAGGGCACGGGAACCATCTCTTCTTCCCGCCTCTTTTCCTTCCTTGCTCCCTCCCTCCTTTCTACACCCTTCCTTCCTTCCTTCCTTCCTTCCTTCCTTCCTTCCTTCCTTCCTTCCTTCCTTCCTTCCTTCCTTCCTTCCTTCCTTCCTTCCTTCCTTCCTTCCTTCCTTCCTTCCTTCCTTCCTTCCTTCCTTCCTTCCTTCCTTCCTTCCTTCCTTCCTTCCTTCCTTCCTTCCTTCCTTCCTTCCTTCCTTCCTTCCTTCCTTCCTTCCTTCCTTCCTTCCTTCCTTCCTTCCTTCCTTCCTTCCTTCCTTCCTTCCTTCCTTCCTTCTTTCTTCCTTCCTTCCTTCCTTCCTTCCTTCCTTCCCTCCTTCCTTCCTCCTTTCTTCCTTTTTTCTTCTTTCCTCTCTCCCTTTCTTTGGTAATGCCACATACTTGCTGACAAGTTTCATGTGGCTGGACTTGGTGTTTTTCTAGCTGGCTTCTGACTTTTGCACATGCTGGAAGGTCATTGTGTTTGGGGGCCTAAAAGTGATCAGACTTCAAAGTCTCAGCTCCACCTGGGAACACTAGTTTGCTGTGCTTGGCGGTAAAATGTCTCAGCGGAAATAAGGGAATTACTGCAACATGCCCACAGGACACAGGGTGATGTCCTTCCAGGCAGTGCGGAGGTGATGCCTGGTGCTTCAGAGGCCAGATCCACCACCAGAGCTCTTTGGAAGTGGTGTGAGTCCTGGGGCTCTTTCCCTCACCTGGACAATGCACAGTAGGCAGACACCCCCCACCCCTGCCTTGTCTTCTGCTTCCATCATTTTAGCTCATCTAGAGCTGGGGGGGGCAGTGAATAAATTGCCACTCAAACCCTAAACCAGCTAAGCACCAACATGACGCCATAGATGGAAAGTTCCACACCTGACTTCCTATGATGGCCCCAGGTCAAAATGCATGTGCACTGCAAATGTATAAAGTTAGCTTCAGAAGCATCAATGAGGGACTGTCTCAGCAACTAAAAGAGCACTGGCTGTTGTCATGGAGGACCTGGACTCGGACTCAGTTCCTAGCACCCACATAGTGACTGACAGCCATCAGTAAGTCAGGGAATCTGATGCCCTCTGCTGACCTCCACAGCCATTGCACGACACGGGTGCACTTACACACAGGCAGGCAATACACCCTGTAGTAGTCTCTTTTCTGTTGCTGTGGTAGAAACACTAACCCAGAGCAACTTAGAGAGGAAGAGTTTATTTGAGCTTACAGTTCCAGGGAAATTACAGTCCATCATGGCGGCATGGTGGCAGAGGTGACTGGAGCAGAGGGAGAAGCTAAGCTGCACATCTTCCAGCAGGCACAGGAAGCAAGAGAGCAACTGGAGATCCGGCAAGGCTTAAGAACTCTCTAAGCCCATCCCCAGTGACGTGCTTCCTCCAGTATAGCCACACCTTCTAAGAGCTCCCAAAACAGTGCCACCATCTGGGGACAAAATGTCCAAATACTTGGAGGCTATGGGGGACATTCTCATTCAAACCACCACACACTCGTACACATTAAATAGAATATTTTTTAAATTAAAAATAAGAAAGCATCAATGAGTTTTGTGTAGACTTGGTTCCTATCCCCAAGAGAGCTCATTATGCATATGCAAATGCCTTGAACTCTGGAAATCTCAGATTTGAAGAAGGCCCTGTCACAACCGTCTTGGTTCTGGGTCATAGCCCCGCCCCGTGTTCCAGTTCCTCTTCTGGGTTTGGCATTCAGTAGCTTTGCTCTCCTAGGAGCCTGCAAACTCAGCACGCCCCACTTCTCAAATGAGACGACTGAGGCACGGGGAGGTAAAGACTTGCCTGAGCTCAGACTGGTGGTGTGTGATGGTATCACACACAGACCCAGGCTACCAGGCTCTGCTGTCACCTCGTGCTGCTTTCTGGGAGCAGGATGCTCTGCTTGTACCCCCAAGTAGAACTGTCCTCACATAGATCTCTGCAGATACCTGGTGCTGGCCCAGTCAGACTCTGTGACACCCACCTTCTTTGGTCTGTCTCCTCGGTGAAGGACAGACTCCTTGGGAGGGTACTTGGGGTTTTGGGGTTGCTGGGGTCAGATTGTGAACTCTCAGGGCAGGCAGCAGATGCTCAGAACTGGGGTGTCACATGGATGGGGAGAATGCCCCACCCCTACAGCCTGGCCCCACCCAGAATTCACCTGTTCCCCCCAAAAAGCTGTAAACCCTGCCTCACCCAGCTGCCAGGGACCGGTTCCAATTGAATTCAGGCATGCTTGGTATTCCCCTGTGGATCAGACTTAGAACTAGCAACTAAAGGACTTTTCTCTTTCACAGAACAGAACTCAGCTAGAAGCCCCCTTTACCATCACAGTAGAAGAAAAGATAAAGGTAAGACCACATGCAGAATCACCCCGTGCCCTTGGCCTCCTAGGCCTGTGCAGTGCTGATGTGTGGTCTGGCCTCAGAACCAAGGGAGGTGCTGGCCACTGGCCTTAACATCAGCTGTGTCTCAAGGCTGTGGATCCTGAGACTGGTTCTCTCAGTGACCCTCTGTGATGGTTAAGAATGACTGTTAACTTGATGGGATTTGGAATCATCATGGCAATAACCTCTTGGCCTATCTGTGAGGGAGTTTCTAGACTGGCTTAATTGAGGTGGGAAGACCCACCCTGAATGTGGGAAGCAGTATCCGGTGAGTTGGATCCTGGTCTGAATACAGGGGAGGAAGGAAGTGAGCTGAGCATGAATTCATTTCTCTGCTTCCTGACTGTGGACACCATGTGAACAGCTGCCTCACACCCCTGCCTCCCTGCCTCCCTGCTGTGATGGACTACATGCTCAAGCTCTGCGCCAAAGTAAACCTTCCGTGAGTTGCTTCTGTCAGGTATTTGGTCACGGAGGTAACTAAAGCTCCATTTGGGCAGGATGAGGTGCCATGGTTAGCCTGTGCTGCTGCTCACTGCACTTCCTGCTCCACTGTCTACCATCTTCTAGCCCACTGCTGAGGCCAGTTTGTCCTCTGAGATCATGCTGGAACACTGCAGTCAGAAGGTGATCTCCCCACCTCTGCTGTTCACAAAAATCTGAATACTGCTTCCTGATCCTTTGCATCCAGACCAACCCAGCTCCTCAGTGCAGTTCCCAGGAGGCCTTGGGGCCTCTTCCCACCCCATCTGCCTTTGCATCTCTGGGTGGCACAGCCAACAGCTGCCCTAGACCAAAATCTTTCCTGGGCCAGGCTCCCAGGCCAGTCTAACCCTCAAATTCCTGAGGCCAAAATCATTCCTGGAGAAGGCCAAAATAGTTCCTGGAGGTATCCAGACCTTAGGAGAAAGCCTGAAACATCTGAAACATCATCTGAATTGGGCCTCTGTGTGAACTCTTGAAGACAAAAGCAATCTGGCCACTCCAATATAAAATAAAAAGCAAGAACCTGAAGCCTAGACCAACCAGCTTTTCATGCCCAACAAGTAAACCACAAAGGCACATAAAGTTTACAAAAAGAAGCA